AGAACGAGACTCCTATGCAGTATCATGAGCACAACAGCACTCAGAATAAAAACCGCTGAGAAATTTTGAAAACCCCACTTAGATTAAACCAAAAACTTAAAAAGTTTTTGTTTTCATTTTAGAACTAATTTCTAAACACAAGTAAAGAATTTTCAAAAAATTAGAACGAATTAGGTCATAAATTGACAATTCCAAATATATGATGTTATTATTTAAATTTTTTGGAAATATTTTCTGCATTAAAAAATGTTTAAAAAGTAAAAGTATGCTTCCTGAAATTCAGAAAACAATTTTGAAATTAGCTCTTTGGAACCCTATGTCAGAATTTAACTGCTCTTCTTCAGAGACCGCGTAGCTGAGTGGGAAGACTTTCTAATCGCGAACACAATCCATCCCGGTTTAAAGAAAGCAGCAATCTCAAATTTTAGAAGTGTGCTTTCTGAACAATAAGGTGAGAAGCCCTTGGCGCCAAAAGTATGTCGAGTGTCTAAAATTCAAGGTGATTTTTTTTTCCGAGTGCACCCCTGTATTCTGGGGCGTTGGTCGGGCGCCTTGGTTGTTGACTCCGTAATATTGGTGACGGCTGAGGTGCACGCAATCCATGACATCAGCATTGTCCACCCCGTTCTGTTGCACGATGGACGCGTACTGTACACCAACAATTAGTTCAAATGCTGAGTTCCTAAGACGCATATAAAGCCTAGCACAATTACTTACTCATGTATAAACATGCACATATGTATTTATGTGGCTCGCTTAGCAGGTGCTAAGCCCCCTCTGTGAGTGAGGGCATCCAAGCTCATTTGTATGCCAGTAATTACTTTTTTTTTACTTTACTTTACATAGCTCGGCACTGAGTGCAACAATTTGACTACACCCTCTCACGCTCAAAGAATGGATTTTTATACTCTGATCCTGAAGCAAAAAAAATGAAAGAGAATATTCCTTTAGCGCTACGCCAAATTTTTATTGACCCTGTTAAAAGGAAAATCGCGTAACTTTTCCAAATTGTATTACTGATGACCTTCTTTTTTCCAGTTTTTATAGCTTTTCTATATATATATAGTGGGATTAGGGGAATTTGCAGTCGGTTACATCTCTCTGTAACGTGCCTTCTTGTTCAAAATAGTCCCATAATTAGTATTAATAAAAAAAATGCAATTAACTCTTTTAAAATAAGTAACAATGCTCCAGAGCTTTATTAGGAGACACGTTGAACCCAGCTGTTAGATAAAATGAAGCGATTAAGCACACCGGTTCTTGTACTCGATTAGGCACCAGCTTTTTATTGCTATCGGAAATCGAAATAATTTCGAAAAGGATGCAGTTATCGATTAAATGAAATAAACATGATTTATGTGGGGCATATGAAAACCTATATTCCCAATTTTAGTTTCCCAAGTTTCTGCCTCTTATAGACTCTGAGATTCGCGTTTTCATACAGACGGACGGACGGCCGGAAAGTCGAACATGTATATATCAACGCGGCTTTTGATCCTGATGATTTATATAAATTGACAATAAGGGTTCAAAATAGAAAAAAAAAACTGCTTAAAGGAAATTATATAGTCAATTAAAAACTATTAAAATGTATGTTAATGCTCGCTTAATCGCTATGAAGAGTTCATTATTATGAATAAATACTTTGTGTACAAGCCAGCCCTAAGCTCATTGTTATGTGCGTTGGCATTATCATGCACTATTCGATATTCTATATATCCGAAATATACTTAGAAAACTACTTTCACTCTTCGGCATTCATTTAAGCAAATTGATAATTAAATTATTTACATAATATAAAATTGATTGCCTCGCATATACCCAGTCGTCCTTAAAGTGGCCAAGCAGAATTGTAATTGTAATTTTAATTGCGTGGCCTCGCATTCTAAATTGGATTTTAATAATAAAGAACTCTTCCAATTTGAAGTATCAAGTTCTTATTTAAGTTTTAATTCGAAATCAATCAATGTCAACTTTAGTAAGGATATCAGTCGGCCCAAGCAAAGGGCAAAAGGAGATTAATATAATATAAAGAAATATACTCCTTATATTAGGGAGAACTTTGCCAGATATTACGAACTTTAAATACTCAGCAATTGTTGAGCTGAAGCATTTTGCTGATGAGTTTCGCTAATGTATTTTATAAATATTAAGTCATATCTAGAGATATCACTGCAAAGTGGAAATTTTTATTTTTCCTTTACCAGTTCGATTTTCGATCTTTTAACATAATTATTTTAAAATTATAATTAATACCTAGTTCAGAATACATTTCTCACTGCTTTATAAGTCAAAGGGTTAAAAGTAAGCAGTGGTATTTAGAAATCTGTTGAAGCTTTGGTCAGAATTAGTTGAGGCAGCGTTAACGTCTTTTGAGGTTATTGACCCCGACAACCTTTGAATGTGGTGGGGTCTGATGAGACAGGCATATCCTTTTTATTATTACCTTTGGCTCCATCCGAATTTAATTTAAAAATGAGAGTTCATAGAAACTTTTTATTTCGATAACTTCAAATAGTTAAATTGTAATGTACAAAGTTTGATCGAAATCGGTTTTTTGTTTTTTTTTCACTTGATATGAGTTAGGCTTTTTTATACTCAGATAAAATTGGTTTTGGGCAATGTATGTCATGCTGTCTGTCCGTCTGTCTGAACGCACCTATTTTCGACACCTTTAGAGAAAGAAAGTTGAACATACATATACTGCTCTGCCGTGTCAGACAAAAACTAGAGGTCTAGGAAATCGATAAGATCGATAATTGCAAATCGATAAAGCCAGATATCTTCCACAATTTTAAGGCAATAGTCACCAAATTTGGTTGGTAGGTTGGCGATGTCCTTCAAAGATCGACATACGATGGCGCCCACCCCCGCTGCTCTCAGACCACTAACGATTGAGCTTTATTGTAATGTAATACTATAGCATCAATGTCTCCAAAAAATGTCTACATTTATTTGTTCTTAGTAGGAAAATTGTAGGGTATATCTTATTTTCGACTGTTTTGTTCTGCTCGGCTTTATTCCGGCACGTGTTCCAACTTTACTCAAAATGAGTAACTTCCTTTCTTAGGAATGAAATGAAATTAACTTCAAGCAGACGGGTAATGAAGGAGGTGCAAAGTTTCCTACCATGGCTAATCCAAAATTTGTAGGTCTGCTAATTATCAGAGTGAAGACCTTGCAAAGACTAATTATTGTTGGGAATGTAAGTAAAATATATTTCAATCGACTCTAGACATGGTTTGGTTTACGAAAATTTTTTTTTACAGTTTGACCACAAGGAATTAGAGTAGAGAATAATGAAAATTAGCGAAATATCACAAGACCAGTTTCTCTTGAAAAGAAATATGAAATATGAAAAGAAATATGAAGTATTTCCTCTAAAATATTTTTAATTCTTCGACTTGACTTAATGACTCTTATGCATTATTCGATTAGGTAGACATCCAAAGAAAAAAAGTTTGACGAAATTTCACTAGAATTTGGATAATCACACAGTGCCACATCTGGTGAAAAAAGATTTAATTTTTCCCTAGATGTTAAATGATATCCACACACAGGTCATATCTAGTATCTAACATCTGCAGCAGTTATTAAATGAAAAATGGATTTCAAACTATAATTTGTAATAATGATATTCTAAACAAATAGGAAACCAAATTATTTTCTCTTATTAAAATGAGATGCTAGTTTGGATAGAAAAAGGCAGACAGATGGACATGGCTATATAGACTCAGCTAGTGTTACTGATCAAGAATATATATACTCGGAGGAGTCTCCATCAATGTGTTACACTCTTCGCGACATAATAAAATACCCTTCACAATGGCATAATTATCTTTGCTTCATGCTCTCGCTGCAGCAACATTCCCTTATGTTCCAAATTGATTCATTATTGCCTTTATCATTATCAGAAGGAAGCATGTGTGAACATACCATAAGGAGTATATATTTCTGATTTTCACCAACATCAAAGTCAACTTAACCGTGTCTGCATTAACTCTCCGATCTCTGAGTCTATAAGAGTTAGATCTCTTAGCTTCGCCAAACTCGTATACGGACTGCCTATTTTTATGTGCAGTTCGTATTCAAAACGGAAGAAAATCCAGAAATTAAATGTAGAAATGGAGGTTTGCATCAGTACTCAAGCTGCATTACTAAAAAACTAAGCAAATATAATTAGAGTAGCCCACATTTCTAAAAAAAAAGCATAAGCATCTCAATCGTGGTCTTAACTAATTAAAAGTCGAACATTCGCATATGCTTGCAGCTTAGTAAGTTCTTCTTAACAATATATATTCATTTCAGTCAAACTTAATTTAACGCCAATATTGTGTTTGCTTAAAAATCAAAGTGATAACAAATTGGAGTTATGTATAATTGCAATAACTTATACGAAGAATTATATATCACATGTATTTTTGTGTACATAAATGTCTGAAGAAAATGCTTATTCAACGGACTTGTCTCTAATGGATCATCTTTTTCTGCTGTTTTTTTTGTGAATACACTAAAAGAGCAAAGTAAAAAAGGCTGTCCCATGAACAATTTTACTGTAGTTAACATTCTCCCGCGCGAAGGAAACTTTTCTTTCCCATCTAATTCTAATCTTTAATCTAATTTCCATCTTTGTATAAAATGCGTTTTCTGCATGTGTACGCAAAAGGATGAAAATAGTAGGGTATATCTTATTTTTCATTGTTTGGTTCTGTTCGGCTTGATTCTGGCACGTGTTTCAGCTTTATTCATAATGAGTTACTTCCTTTCTTAGGAATGAGATGAATCTAAGCTTTGTGGGTCGGCTAATTATCAGGGTGGAGACATTGCAAAGACTAATTATTGTTGGGAATGTAAGTAAAATATATTTCAACTTACTGTTGGCATGGTTTGATTTTAAGAAAATAACAATTTGACAAGGAATTACAGCGAATAATTAGGCAAATTAACGAAATATTGCCAGACCAGTTAGTCTTGAAATTAAAAAATAAGCATGTAGCAAATACTTTCTTTATATTAAATGTATTTTTCATTTGTAAGATATATTGACCACAAGTTGGTTAAATTGGTTGGATTAAGGCGTACAAACATTGAATTTATTGAATATATTTCTAGTTTGACAGCTGTGAGTTTGACAAGTTCGAATTGGATAAATTCGAGCTATGCTCAGAGTCCGACGACTGTGGGAGATTTAATGGCTGCTGCGCCTGCTGCTGATGGGGATTGTGTAGCTGATGCGATTGCTTCGATTGGATGGCAGTGCCCGACTCGTAATTGATGCGTATCCATTGACCTTCGCTGTTCTCCTTCCACAGCGAGACGTTGTTGTCACCGCCGGTGACGGCGAGTACGTTGCCCGTGGTGGACCAGGAGATGCTCCACACGGCATCATCGAATGTGTGTAATACATTCGATGTCCACTGCGATAGATCAGCGTTGCTGCTCCAAATGATCACATGTCGATCCTGTGAGGCAGACGCTATCTGCATGCGTGGCAATCCAATTGAGGGGGCCCATGCCACATCGCGTACCCAATCCGAGTGTGCTTCGAGACGATGCTCCTCGATCCAGCGATCATTGTCCTCACGCCAAATCTTAACGAGATTGTCGCATCCTCCGCTGACTAAACGCTTTACGGCCGGATTGCGTGACGTCACACGCTGATCAAAGGCCGGGTCCGGTGCCTGAGCCGAACACCACGAAATAGCATTCACTCCAATCGTGTGCGCATTGGGTATTTTCTTGGCATCCCAAACACCGTACTCTGTGTTGCAGGTCAGCACGGAAATGGAACCATCTGAGCTGGCACATGCCAAAACCAGGCCATACTCAGCCGGCGCAAAGTCCACCGAGTTCACCGAGGAATCGTGATTGATGTATTCGTATCTGAAAAGGGGAAAACATTAGGAAAATTCTGTTGCGCTGCTGTTGCTGATAACAATGATGATGGCATCACACGTACATACACATACACATTCACAAATAAATACAGCTGCGGTCAAAATAATTGTAGTCCGCACGCAAGTTTGGAAAATGTAAAAAAAATACTTCGAATACGGTTTAAAACTTATCAAACTTTTATTTGAACACTGCTATCTGTACTGAAGATAAGTAAACATCAAATAGCTATAAAAAAAAAAACGAACAAAAAATATATAATTATAATTACATATAATTATAAATACCAGTGGAATAATAGTGATGTATTTGTTTTCCCTGGGGCTAAATAATATTTCTAAAATTACTACGTTGAGTATTTGGTTGCACAACCGTCATAAGAAGTAACTGTCACATAGCTAGTCCATCTCTAGAAAATCGATGTCCTTGGCTCCGAAAAGTCTTTGCAAAGATGGAAATTTTATGTTGGATTAACGTTAGAAACAATCTTTATAATTTGAGATTTGGAGGCTTTGCCGACTATCCCATCCCTTGTAGAGATTTTATTGGGATACTTGAAGTTGGTGTACTCTTGGAATGTGCAAATCCAAATGGAACCATCATTTCATCCGTTATTTTTGTTTAAGGATTAAGGATGATCCGCCGTTTTTGTAAACAGATTTCGAGCTGAGTGATTCGCTTAGATGCCGTCGAGACCCTCGATCACCATAATAAACCAGTTTTGGATTCGTCCAACTACAAAATATTCCATTTCTCCAATGTTATCTTTTAGACTTTTTGCATTGTCTTTTTTTGTTAGTATGGGTTATGTTATTGGATTTCTAACTACTTGTTTACCTACTCGGGATTCACAACAGGCTCACCCTACGATGGGTCCCGGCCCACAGGGCCCCTAACAGGACCAGATCCGTATTGTGACATAGGGAGGCACACTATACGACTGCAACTTAGAAACGAGGAGAGGCAGAGACGGCAACAGAGCTGGTTGGAGACAGTAGGACTCCGACAAGCCAGATGTCTCCTAGGTGGTTATAATCTTGTACGATTTAAACAAATTATAACCATGGGAAAGTACAGCCTTAGGATACTCACCGTTCTATTGATAGGACACTGTAGACTAAGGAGTCACCTGACAAAATTGGGTATATATAGTAGCGATCTGTGCAGGTTTTGTGAAAGAGGAGGAATCCTCGATGCACATCCTAGCAGAGTGTGTCGCCTTAACTAGAAGAAGAAGCAGCATCCTAGGGGCGCATGTCTTGAATTGCAAAGACATAGTAGACCTCAACCCAACAAAGAACCTTACGTTCATACGCGAGTTGGGGCTGATGATCGAGTTATAAGCTCAGAAGGGGGCGCAATACATCAAATAGGTCGCGATGCAGCTTCCCCAACAATAATAATAATAATAAACTAATTGTTTATTATCTCTAAAACAGCAACAGATATTTTTGATATTATTAATCTTTAATGATTTTCCAGCGAAGTTTCGATAATAATATTATTTGAAATCAATCCCAGATGGAAAACAAACCATTTCTTGTTTCAATTTTCAGCTATGCGATGTTCGCCACGCCCCATTTTTTCACCATAAAGTGAGCCATATTCTTATGGAATGCTTTTTAGATAAGCAAATAAGATATTATTGTATTATATTACTCAAAAAACTCTAATTAAGGTCGATCAGTTTTAAATATTATTTTGGGTGCACACCACAGAAAATAAACAAAGGGAATATAAATCGAAATAAAACAAAGGATCTGGGGAGGAATCAAATATGTATATGCTGAGAGGAAACATTGACTGCTACTATTATTTTGACCTTAACTGTAAATACTTGCACACAGATACAAAGAGAACACTCACAATTTGCTCCAATCCCTGGGTGTTGTCGACTTCCATATGATCACTTTGCGATCGTAGGAGCACGATGCCAGAATGTTGCCGAATTTGGGATGTGCCCATGCCACCTGCCACACGGGTCCTTGGTGTCCTTTGAGTTCCGCTAGTGCTTTATTGTTTTTGCGCGAGTGGAAAATGCGAACGCTGCCATCGGACGAACAGGTGGCAAGCAGCAGGCCGTAGAAGTCCAGGGCGGCATGGTGGACTATGTCCTCGTGCTCAGTGTCGATCTCCTGCAGCAAACTGACCATTTTGAGTGCAATTTGCTTACGTCAAATCAATGAAATCAACAAAATGTAATTCTCCGGCTTGCAAGCGTTTGACGTGGAAAACTAGCCGCTTTCGATAGACGATTTCATTTAAAGTGCCCTATCGATGCGTAGACACTATCGATATTATATCACAACATGACTAAATATATTTTCTGGTATTTCTTATCTTTTTTAGCTACTTTCTGATACAATTTTCGTAACATCGATATTATATTACAATAAGTGTAAATAAATATTTATTTTCTTGTATTTCATTTATTTCTAGTAAAAATATATTTTATTATTTTATATACTTAGTAATTAGTATATTTATATTAATATTATTTTTATATGAACTTATCGATTTGTTGTCAGTATTTTTTTAGTACACAGTATTTTTCGTCTTAGATCTTAGGTATTGCTCAGTTGCCAAGACGCTGCCACTTTGTTGTGCACTCGACAATTTTCCAAATTCGCACTTAAGGAGCATTTCAAAAGGGAAATAAGGTAAAATTATGAACCAAAATTAACTTTAAATTTGCCAAAATAATTGAGGTACCACACAAAAAACCTAAAGTAACTAAACCGTTTTTATTGACAACTAAAAGTGCTAGAAAAACAACATGTATTACATAACCTTTTAAGGTTACCAAAAATTGTTACGCCGAAGACAAAACAAGAATTGTGTTAAAATTACTACAATTTTTACAGATGTTGACGCAATCAATTCTATCCGGCGTCCGTGTGCTGAGGACGGAGATGCGTCGCAATATTGCCATTGCTGCACCCGCTCTCAACAAGGCCTCCGATCCCATCCAGCAGCTGTTCCTGGACAAGGTTCGCGAATATAAGCAGAAGAGCGCGTGAGTAACAAAAAATAATTATTTGAAATTATTTCTAAATAAGAAAATTTGCATTTGCAGCGGTGGCAAAATGGTCGATTCGAATCCGGAAATCGAGCGCGAGTTGAAGAACGAGCTGGAGCGGGTTGCCAAGCAATATGGCAGCGATGGCAAAACCGATATGCTTAAATTTCCCGAATTTAAGTTTCCCGATGTCAAAATCGATCCAATTTCACAAGGCGCTAACTAGATAACATTTTCCTGTACACATGATGTCGTTAAATTGTTTTAAGTTATTTCCAATCAGAAAGCTGCTTGCCTGAACTCGAATCAACCAGGCGACTTTAAAACCACAACAAATAAATCTTAAAAACCGTAATTGGTGTGAAATACAAAGTGTATCCTGTTGTATCCACAGTAAGAGTGCATCTGCTCCTAAATGTAATGTCTGCTTTGCTCAATTGTAGCTCCTGGTGTAGTCGACGATATGCTGCCCAATTGCTTAAAAGTTAAAATTCCGTCTGCTTTATCTTTGACAAAAATGTTACAAATTCTTCTCACTGTTGTGCGGAGTTATTTTTATCTGTTTGAATTCCGCATTAAAATATGAAAGTACCTTTCTTTGATATATTTCGAACAAAATCGGGCGCTAAACGTTTTTTATACAAGTTAAAATACATATGTTTGAAAAAATGATGGAAACACTGAAACTATAATTCTCCGTTAAACTTGAAAGTATAATTTTCTAATTCATAGTGTTCCTTATAAAAGTTTAAATTGCTACTCAAATATCTCTGATAAAATATGATTCAAACTTCCAATCCAATACAGAATTTTCTTAATGTATATTAATTCTGCGTTGAAAATTTGGAATACATTTTTCTGATACATTGATTTGGGGCTACTTCAAAAATAATGTTTATTATTTTTTTCCAAATACTGTTTTTAGACGGCTAAGTTTTTTCGCGCTTATTTGCAGAAAAATTCCCTTTTTGCATTTTCTATTTCACGGAACCATAAAAATGGATTTTCTGTCATATTTTTTAAATTTAAATTTGTTTTGCATGCAAAAAAAGTTTTGGAGACGATTTTGTAAGTTTTTGAGGATAAGCGAAAAAACGGAAAAATTAACAATCTGCAATAAACTACAACTTAACTACGCCCATGAAAATGCAATGATTCTGCAATATATTTTAATATGACGTGAGAAACATATTGAAGGTGATGTCTATGATCTCATTAGTTATCAATATTCTCGATAAGCTTCAATAGCTCACTCTATTTATCTTTTGCTGCAGGCAGTATATACAATAAATATGCCAGATTAGGTTGCATCAGACCGCAATATCAGATATTGTACAGACAGTTGTATTACTTTACGCAAACTCACTAATTGCAAGCTTGTCATGTACAATTTTAGTAAAATCGGAATACTATATCTATATAAAGTTCCCTGTCGCTGCAATATCGATTTTTTTAATTATGCCAGAATTAAGAAGTGAGTAGATTTCCGCAATGGGAATAGTCCGCACAATGTTTCCAATTTTTTTTTCCCATTCTGAGGGTATTATGATTTCGAGTAAATTTTATAACGTAAGCACATGAAATATGTGTATCTCTATTCCTCTTCAAATCCAATCACGCTTCTTTGCGAACTAGTTGCTTAAGCTTATAATATATATGTTTTTTTTTTCCTGCAAGAATTACTTCGCTTTATATCTTAAGCAATTTTTTCTTGGTGATGCGACTCTTGCCAAGTGTGACAAACCCAGCGACATACGACAATTTATTGCACAATATCCATACATATGTTACACTAATCGGGATCGGACGATCAAATATGTTGAAATTAAATTGTCAAGTGTAGCAACCCAGCGATAAGCAATACTTTATTGCATAATATTCGTTTGGTATTTTGAGCGCCCGCCTCCGTACTTGTGCTGCACTTTCCCGGGTCAGCCGCGACAGCGGTGGGGTTCCCCTAGATTAATTCTTAATATTCATTTTTGTAAATCAGCTCTAATCATACCAACGAAGTGGCGAGATACCCTTCGAGTAACACAACGTTTGTAACTCGTTTTGAGTTCTGTTCATTGAAGCAATCCTAAGCAAGTAAAGTTATAATCAAGCTGAACATAGCAAGGAATTAACTCGATGCATTCGTCGCAATCCTAAATAAATAAAATTATAATAAAGCTAACCTCAACTAAACTCATCACTGAGTAAATAGTTAATTGGTGCCCAACAGTTACCTACGGCTGAGCAAGGAAAAATTGAAAAAAAATACTCATCACGGCTTGAACAAAAAAAAGTAACAGCAAAACTCGAAAGAGAAAAAAGTAAACAAAAAAACCATCAATACTCGAACGAAAATACAAAAGTAACTGCAAAAAAACTTTAACGGAAATAAAAAGTGAGAAGAAAAAATCCAAAAAGACGTAAACGAGAACAAAAACAACTGGAGACTGGAGGTGCATCAGGAACAACGATCGTCGCTAAACCTCTAAAAACTATAGAATTGTACATACAAGAAATCCCCTTCTTCTGCAAAACCCTTAAATTACAGTTAGTGTTCAGTTCCTTAATGAGCTGCAGTTACTCTGACCACAAAGAGTGGTCTGAGAGAAGGCCTGAAGGTGTCTGTCTTGTTAACTAACAAGGTGAACATGACATACGACAAATACGTGGCGAAGGGCATGTGGCTGACGTACTAGCGTTGGCTCAGGAAGCAAACTACAAAAGATACAATTTCATTGCAACTATACTAGAAGCATAGAAGAAAAGTCACGACAGCCAGCCTATCAGAGCACAAAGGAAAAAATACAGTGAACATAACGGCCAAGCAGATCAAGGTAAAAGTCCGTTCTGCAAACAGGCAAACCTTACTCTCATCAGATTCAAGCCAATCCTTTAACGGCTAACAATCCGAACCTATGGATGTGGATCCGAAATGCTCAGGTTCAGGCTGATTAAACGCAAACTCCAGCCAAAAAAACAAGAAGTTAAGCAATTCGGACCAAATGACTGGGCCGAGAAGACAGAGGGTAGACCATGTTACTGCAAGCCCAGACCAGGTTGCGGAGACTTACAACGTGTCGGCCGCTGAAGAAGTTGCCGAACTTAAGGCCCAAACGGAGCCCGAGTGTGAGAGTGATGACGTTAAGGGAAGATAGATCCCTACATCTTCGATTGTACTGAGAGAAGAGAGATTGTAGCAGTGAAAAATAATCGCGCTCATAGAGCTGCTCATGAAAACATAGCAGATCATGCCGGATCAATACTTTCCAAAAAGGGCAAAACTTGCAATTGAGGTAGTCCTGAACAGTAAGATTTGCTCTGAAGCAAAATACGACAGACACCAAACAAAACAGGAACTTATTTAAATACCAGTCCCCCCATTCACAGGATAAATGCGACATATTGACATTTTTTCCACATATAAGAAGTTATTTTTAAACTTGTATGGATAAATTCTCTATGTTTGGAGTAACACATCTGCGATAATGAGCCTGCAATGAGTCTTAATGCTGAACAATTTTTGCGTCCACATTACGTCAAACGACGAGTTAGAGCGTTTTCCTATTAGAAATTTCGAGGTGCATTAAGCTGCAAAGGGGGGTAGAAAACACAGTCGTTCTCATCCTTCAGGCCACGGTGGAGTACAATAAGTCGGTGCACTCCGTCACCAATAAAAAAAACCGAGTGAAATATAATACAATGCAACACATAGTTTGTGTCGCGAAAAAAAACAGATAATATACAAAAAGCCCAGATAGCGTAGAATAACAGGCTCAACCGAGGAAGACAGTACAGGGTCTTTGACGTTGGAGACAAAGTTTTCCTAAAGTCCAACAGGAGAGAAAGAGTCGAAGCTGATTTGGGGACAACGGTGCTCATTAAAGGTGGTCCACAAGGATAATCTCCGATAAAAGTGCTATGAAATTGACAAATATATATCCCAAACGCATATGCGGAAACTTTTGGTAATAGACACCGGACACATACCAGACCTTTTATTCGCTATTAACGTACACCATAGAATGCAAGAAGAATTGACTTCTTGTGCACGGTCTTCAAGGTAGTTGCCGGCACCCCAGATGCAAATGACCTTTCAAATATAAATGCAGATAGTTATACACACGAAAACCCAGACACAAATAAATCAACTGACTAATACAGTAAACCGTCTATTAAAAGCTACAAAAATGAATCTTATCGACACGGCTCACCTATATGAAACCTCGTTGGTAAGAAGCCAAATACTAATAACACAGATCAACAATATCTTACTTACGATCACACTCTCAAAAATAAAAATTGTAAACCCCAGTATCCTTGAACATTCTGATCTAGAATCCATCTTCGCTAATCACGGATATTACTGTCACTAGCATTCTAGGGATAACTAATATTAAAATTGCAATCGATAAATATAATTCATTTCATTATTGAGTATACTAGCGTTAAGAATTTATGTAAGAAAGCCACTATATTCCCGGTGGCACACAACGGCTCTACGCTGCGTCTATGTTAAAGTTGTTGTTGTCAAGTGCAACAACCCAGCGATCAGCGATACTTTATTCCATAATATTCGTTTTGTAATTTGAGCACCCGCCTGAAGTACTTTTGCTGCATAGAGCGGTTCCCCTTTGTTACGAGATTCTTAATACTCATTTTTGTAAATCAGTTCTAATCATACCAACGAAGAGGCGAGATGCACTTCTTGTAATAGAGCGTTTGTAACTCGTTTTGAGTTCTGTTCATTGAAGTAATCTTAAGCAAGTAAAGTTATAATCAAGCTGAACATAGCAAGGCATTAACTCATGTGCGATGCATTCGAAGCAATCCTAAATAAATAAAATTATAATAAAGCAAATCTCAACTAAGCTCATCACTGTATATAAGATAACCGCGGGTTTTTAAGTCGCTTAAAAAGTCGGAATTTTTTAATCGGTAGTCTCAAAATATTTAATATTATGAAAATTGTAATTTTTGACATAGTTACAAACTACTTATTTGAAACGATATAACAAAATTGAGTTATATAACACCTCTTTTTCTAAAAAAAACACTACGCTTCCACTTTAAAAATAACACACAAATAAAGTTTAGAAGAAATAATTAACACACAACAATTAGGACACACCAAATCTACTCAGTAACATTGCCTCAAACCGTTTAAAACATTATCCAGACCTAATTCAGTCAAGCACAAAAGCTTAGAAACTATTGTAACATCATTCTTAAATATATTCACAAGCAAAAATCATTTTAAAACAGAAATACAACAACCGAATTTACTAAATTTGCAAAAGACAAAATTTGTAAAATAATCAAATTTGTAAAGAATTCAAATTAACTACAAAAAAGATAATCTTAAATCTATAAATATCCAACTTATCATAAATAAATTTGATCACCTATTTTCATTACCTATACCTATAAATGCGCATATAAGAATTAGATGTCAAATTTACCACCAGCATAATTTACTGTAGTAATGAAATATATATATTTTGTAATTTAAAAGATATAACAGACAGACAAGACATCCATTGAAACATTCTAATATTTCTCTTACCAAGTACAGAGTATTTAACAAAACAGAAACCGAACTTACTAGACTCGCGAAAGACAACATTTGTAAAATAATTACATATTTAAGAGAAATAAGTAAATCATAAATAATATAATCTAAAATTGAGAAGTTTTAACTTATTACGGATTACTTTCATTACCCATTTTCATTACAGTTAAGGTGCGCATATACGAAACAAAATGACAATTATACCCCACAATAATTTACTTTATTAAATAAATAAATATATATATATTGTAGTTTTTAAGATGTAATACTAAAATTTTCTCATTCCACTTACAGGGTATTAACACATCATTGCATTAGCTAGTTCTGTCTGAAAATTAATAGACAAGCTTTACTTTAAATCACACCCCCCGCTCAAAAGCTCAACAAGATCAAGGCTGTAGTGCTTAAATATTTGACGAGGCTCAATCTCAGTTTCAGACTCAGTTTCTGTTTCAGTCTCAGTCTCAGCCGCGATTCGCTCACGTTGCGACGCTCAGCAGTAGTTTGATTCCAGCCGCTCCCACGAGTGCGTCAACGGGTGGGCATTCGATCTCTGATCTCTGTAAAAGCTTGTTAGTAATAACTAAATAGGAAGGAAGTAATTACTTTGATCAGGCTAGGGCCAATGAATGTACGCGGTGTGCATAAAATAGTGAAACGAAATGTGGAAAATGCTGAATTTTGTGCTAAATGTTGAGCATTGTACTGAAATGAACTGTTATGAAATAGTTGTGAATGTACATATCATAATAATGATTATTCCGCATATGAATACGGATTTACTTAGTGTTGTATATATATACACATGTAATTACATACATACATATATGCATGTTGTGTACATATAAAATAGGTCTTGTACATAAGAAATTTGTGCATATGCATACATAATCATGTCCATGCACACAAATTTAATTGAATACATACTTATGTATATATATACCCATAAATACACTCCGCGAAATTCAATTAAAGGCACCTGCTCTCTGCTAATAAAATTTAAAACGCAATTTTTAAAAATGCTGCTTGTATCATAAAGTGCCCTGACATTCACCGCTCTAAAATTCTGAAGAAAATATATGGCAAAAACTTTCTCATCAGGATTACGCTGGTGGCAGACGTATCCGACACTTCTAGGAGCTGTTGTAGTGAGAGATTGGTCTCATATTCCATCTTATGGGAATTTCTTCAATTTGTGTAATTGTTTTAATCGAAATGAGTCATTTTTGTTTTTCTAAAAATGTGAATCTTTTTGTATTCAACGCGTATTTAATATACAAAACTAATGTGAAACAAGAAACATAAACAATTAATTGTCAAGCATAAGATCATGTGCCGTTAATTGAATTTCGCGGAGTGTAGCCATTTCATTTATGACTACGATTAATTCGTGTCTAGAATGCAAATAAAATCAATAAAGTGTTAATCTATGCATTTATGAATACTAACCCTCGTATAGACATACATTATACAAAGTGTATTAACAACAATATAAATTGACAAAAACAAATTAAATTTGTTTTCAATGTTACTCAATACAAATACATAATAATACTTTCACTGATTCATTTTTTTTTAATTTTTATACACTGTTGTGATGACTGTATAGTTCTAAGTAATCTAGGCATTTAGAAAAGTTATTATACCCATTACTTCGAAAAAATGGGTATAATAAATATGCGAAATTCCATATATTTTCGATCTGCACTATGTGGAAAGTCGATCTAAATGAATATTTGATATTATGTATTCCTATTGCTTAAATAGATCGATCAATTTTTGTATATTTACACATTTAAATACTAATAGTACTCTTAGTTAGTTTCTAGCTTTATTTTTTTTTAATTATTCATCAACATAAGACCAAAGTTGTTTGCTTATAAAACATATAATATATAGGAAATTAAAATAATCACTATAAATTATTTGATCGAATTCTTTAATAAACGTAGAAGCTAAGCAAAGTTTATAAATGTACAAAGAGTATATTTAAATCAAATACAAAAAAAAAAAAACAATATTTTAAATTGTATTATTAATTTAATTTAAACCGGTATTTCCCAAAAACACCAAAATTCGAAGCGAACCCGACATATCAAATTACACATAAAAATAACTTGAAAAACTATAAAGACATTAGTAACAAGTAATCCACGTACACACACATGTCAATAAATGATTTTGTATGTGACTAGAGGTACAATGAGTTATTACTTAATTGCAATACTGTTCGTCGTATTGCCTGCAAACGGCGAGCTTCAAGTGGAATCAATCAGGTATTTATTTATTTAATTCATTTATATAAATTATGACTTATGATTAAATATGATTATATATACATCCATACCATAGAGTAAAACTTGAATCCAAAATGTAATCAGCCTGACAAGTATCAAATCAAAATCAAAATAAAAAAAGTTAATCAGATCGAACATATTTTCGAAAATTCCAAATGACGGGTTCGTGCATCAAACAAAGCTGCAAATTAACGATGACGCACATTCGTGTTTACTCTTTTGACGATTACTGCACTAAAGTAAAGTACAGGGCAATTTAATAGAACAAGTGCGAACGTTGTAGTAGAGCATAACCGACTACACAATACTCTGATACTCAAGGGTGACAAACCAAACACAACCTTCGGTATCAGAGCTTAAGAAGTAAAGTTAATAAAAATATAAAGCAAAAAAAAGGAAAAAGTCGAAGAAGATTTTTAAATATTATTAAATTGTTTTCTTGCAAATACGTACGTCTGCTTATACACTTCTTGCCTTTAAATCTGATTTCTGTCGTCTACTGTTCTCAACTAAAGAGAGAGAGAGAGATAGTTAATTTTTGTTTAAGTTAAAATATATGTAACTGTCTAATTTTGATCGGCTTGCACATTTAATGGATGGCTTTTACAAAACCCGGTTTCCTTCATATTTCGCTCCTAGGTTAAAGCTTTTCCTCGACCCATAAGTTATATTTTTTAAATACTTTTGAAAATAAAAGAAGAACGATCATATGACCGAATAAAATGTTTCTACGTGCCGCAGATAACGATGAAACTAAACTTAGAAAATCAATCGCCCTCATTTTTAGTAAATCGGTCCAAAATGAAAATTGCTCTGGAAGCTAGAAAATTTTAATTGTTTTTAGAAATAATCTTAGAAATATGAGAAAGTCATCTGCTAAATTAACAATCGCAATATGTTTACAAAATTTTTTTTTTGTTTTAATATTTTCTCTTATTAAGAAATGCTGTTCCGAAAAGTAAAAACAATCATTTCTAAAATTCAGAAACTAGTAATGAAATTTATTGGCTCGGCTGTTGTCTGTCTAAGAGATCCGCCGTAAAATCGTTAATTTTTTTAAAATTACATTTAATGAACTTATGAACTATTTATAATGTTTGTTTATCTTAACTTGTAAATCTTAAAATACTAATGTGTATTAAAACTACAATTTTCTACATTTTACCCTGAAATTAAGAAAAGAAAATTCCTAATTTTTAGAAATATTCTTTCTGGCGAATTTTTGAAGAGAGTGTGATTCTTTCTGTGTGTAAATGCATGCTCCGTTCAAGTGGTGAAGAAATTTGGTCACAATATCAAGGAACTCGAACATTATGAGTAAATAAACATATAACAGTAATTTTCTAGAACTAGTAATTTTTCGCAGGGAAAATCGAAGTGGTGCAAAAAAAGTGAAGAAATTTGGTTAGTTTTATCATGCTGAAATACGAGTTATGAGCAATTATAAAGACTGTGTAAAAGGTGTCCCATTCAAGTGGCGAGGAGTGTATACATAAGTGTGTGTATTTTTGCCAAAAGTAAATATCATTTTTGATAAGTTTTTATCAATAAAAATGTCGGCTGCAATTGCATTTGTAAATAGCCTTCATATTTGAGATCGTGTTTAAATGCATAAGAATATAATTTTGCTTTTAATTCATTTACAGTATATGTATAAATATTTTAGACAGATGTCGACGTCAGGAACTACAGACCCAATGAATTTACAATGTGCTTGCCTTTTACAATTTAAATAATACATAATTGAATTAATATACCTAAATAAAATTTATAAGTAAAACAAAAATTTGATGACATTTTTGAGTAAAAATGAATAGAAAAGTAGAAATGATTTTCAAATAGTTACTAAAATGTAATAAAAATGAATCTCAAGAATGATTCACATGGACGAACACTTGAAAATATCATTGAAAATAATGGGTGGTTCATTTAATATCAATTAATATTATCATTATTAGTTTTTAAAAAGCTAATATAAGAGTTATGTAAAAGTACCAAGTTTTTAACATTTTTCAAAAATGTACTCTGCAATTAAGAAAATAGAAAAAAGTCACAACATTCTGTTTTGAGAAATATACGTTTTGAATAGTAAAGTAAGTTATCCTTCTCGAAAAAGTTTGCGAATTTTCTAAAATTCAGCATGATTTTTTTCTGAGTGTAGTCATGATCGGTGTGCATCTGGTCACATATAAATTTCTCTATTATCATCTAGAAAGTGATGCTACGGAGGATGTCAAGGATGCGGATCATAAGTAAAAACAATTTGCCCGAAATCGAGAAGTCGTTCAGTCAGGGAGAAGATTCAAGATTCCAATTTGTTGGCTGACGAGTTCTCAACGGGGGCTGGTCCCGCTTTCAGTCTCCCAACGACTTAAAGCTTAGCTTGAAAAGAGTAAATGTGCGGGACGATAAGTTGTATAATTCGGGACGATAAGTTGTATAATTCAAAAGCTAGTGAAGACTGCAGGATTTGGTTTGCATGTCTTACCCGTTAGTATATCATATTTGGCGTATTTAAATTGGTTTTGCTGTGTTAATTACTGTGCTCATTAGTTGAATTATATTTTACAAGAATATTCAAAGATGTAACAAAGTGTCCTCCGGTCTGTAAAGTATGTGATTTTGGCGATCCTCAGACAGCTTTACTGTCAGGTTTATTGGTCATTGGAACTCACAAATCTATTGTAATACATTTTTTTTTGCTGTTTTTCAAATACAATTCACAGCTGTAAAAGAGTTTATCTGTTGGGTATGTGAATCGCGTTCCACATCGCTCTATGTGTGAGCAGCGAATTAACACTTTGTCTGACGCATACTTGAAAAATACATACAAAGTATGTATTCATTTGTACATATGTATCCAACTTCAACTGCGTCGAAAAAGGTTGACTTTATAGGCGCGGATAGCCAAAAAGACTTTGCGGAGAACCAATAAACTCGTCTACATTTGGAATCAAAATATATATTAATCAAAATTCTTTGAACCAAAAATATGCCGGTACAATGTATCAAGTCTTATTCGTTGTCATAGCTACCAAGACCATTGATCGCCTTGGGGGGTGGGAGTTTCGTATATATTCTCTTGTGTACATAAATAAATTGAGAGAGCCAAATGGTTTTACGGCCAAACTCATCTTAATTACTTCCATTATTTAAAAATTATTGCAAGCATATTTTATTACTATGCATTTCTATTTTACAAACATTTGTATTAGACTTTCATTTTTGCTCCATATGAGATAGCTCATAATGCACAGATGCATTCTTCAATCTATATGAAAAATATGTTCTTACAGAAAGTAGAAAGAAAGAAAGAAAGCGATTTTTTTTTTTTGTAGCAGTATGTATGCCTTCTGTCAGTTTTAACTATTTGGAAGCGTTTACGGTTAAAGATTCGAAACATGGATTATGTGTTTGTTCATGCCTGCGTCAGATTAAATGTTAAAACACCAATTTATTTCCTAAAATTTGAGGGCTGAACTCAACAAATTTGGAAGGAAGACTAAACTCCTTCAAAAATTGGCCTAAAAAAATTTTACATCTTCCACAACTTAATTTCAAACTTGGAAGGTAGATTTCTGAGAACCGCCTCTTAAGATTGTTAAGAACTTCTTGTCATCGTCTAATCCAGCCCCCAAAAAGCGCTAAATCTTTTCCTCGGATTAAACTGGTATCACAGTACTTCGAAGTTGGTTAGGCGTTTCAAAAACGTTCTCACATTTTCAACTGATTTGTTCAGAATTTCCCATTAGATTTGATATATATAGTGAGAACATTAGGGGTTTGTAGGTGCAACGTTGCTATTTTTCCAGTCAAATAATGTGTCCAGTTAAATAATGTGAGAACATTTTGAACATTTTATCTGAGTTTGTCAATCGCATTTGAAAATAAATTATATTTTATTAGTTTTCAACTCGCACTCGTTAATGTCACAAGCAGAATTGTCTCGGCTGATTAAATCATGTAAATAAATATATTAATATTTTCTCCTTATATTTTTATTATATTATTATTATTATTGTGACACATTTTTAATTAACAAGTTCGAATTATCTGTCCGTCTGTATGAACGCAGATCAAGACTGATTAATTTTATTGATAACTCTTCCCGATTTCACAATTTTAAAGATGTAATCTTCATTCAAATTCAGTTGCCCAATTCATTATCATTATATATATTTTGGTCAACTGTTGAAATAACGTTAAGAAATCGTATTTTGGGGATTGATAATTTATGACGAGTACGATTAATTTTGAGATTTTCCATCTTTATTATTAGATATCGCCGAGATGCGCAAAACGACACCAAACCCGAGAGCAGTTTTGAAAAAGAAGATGTCGGCTGGTCTAATATCAATGCCGAAGTTGATGTGGTGACGCCTATGGTAATTGCACATCTTCAAAAGCTGGGAATAGAGCATTTAGACCTTCCGGATATTAAAGAAAGTTTATCTATTGTAAGTTTTTCTTTCAATCAGATAATGTCCAAATTATACAAATCTTAAATTCATTAGAAACCTTTCTTCATCACCTATGAGGCTGGCCTGCACCTAAGTAATGGAATTGTCTACAATCTTGCAGGCATACACAGACACAACAATGCATTCATGACATATGAAGGCAAATCGTTCTTAAGTAAATTTTATTTAAAAATTAATAAGCTTCAGGTAAGTGAGGTTCTCAGTGAGCAAATATGATATGTATTCACAACAGACAGACATACGAATTTGACTGTTGGTCCTGGCCCAAAAAATAACACATATTTAATGGAATCGGGAATGGATTTTTCTGCGAATGTATTTTATACTGAATATATATATATATACATATATATATATATTTATATATGCAAAGCACTGTTCTGTCAATTTCACTAATATTAAAAAATGATAAGCAAAAATTTAACGCAAGCAGGAACTAAAAAATGTATCAACATTTTTTGAGCCAATTTTACGCGTTACAGGATAGTTTGCTTGTCAAGTCTTGCTAATTAAGAAGATACAAACATAAAGGAATAACCTTTGTTTCCTGTCTAGAATCAAGTTTGGGATAAAGGAATATATGCATACACCCATACTTAAATTAAAATTTAGATATTATAGTATATACATATTTTCATTACATGGTAGTGGTTTCTTTTATAGTTTGAATATAACTTTTTGCTCAAGTTAATGGCCATCGAGGGTTATGGAAAAGTGCTTGGCACATTAGATGACACGATTGTTTACGCTGAGCTCGCTGTGAATGTAATAAATTCAAAACTTCATCTTCACGACTTTCGTATAATTGAATTCAGGTACTGCGGTATCACATTTATTTATAAACTTATAATAATGAGTGTATTTTACATGACAGCAATATTCAAGTACAATTGGATCAAGCCCGTTTAATTCGCGAGTTTACAGGACTTATTTTAAGTCCTATTACAAACCTGTTCAAGGATCTAATCACAACATCAATAGCCGATGGACTTAAGGAACAAATGCAGTCGGTTATGGATGATTTTAACAACGAGGATCCTTTGGAACTACGTAAATTTACAAAGCAACTAATATCTGGAATAACCGGCTCCTCGACCGAATCTAAGGAATGAAAATAGTAGTATTAAAAGTTATAGAAAAACTGGGATCTAATTATTTTTCCAATTGATTAAAATCTAAAATGTTTAAAATCACAAATTTATTTTATTCAAAAACTTGATTTTCGACCGATTAATTAAATTCCGTTTGTTATATATGATAAATGAGTCGATTACTGATCCTTATACTGATAAAGTTTTGTTCGAGGCTGAAAACACCCAGTTCGCATTGGCTTGGCTAAAACTCAAATTTATTTATTTTAGAATTCTTAATTATATGTTGCCAACATTATTTTAATTATTCTGCTACTGGGTCAACTTCAAATATTTCAATCGCTTATGAAGAAATGAAGAGAAATCAGAGCATTTTAAAAATAGTCCTGTATCGTCGAATTGTATTACTTCCTCAATATTTATGAAATATTTGAAACTTGAACAGTGTATGAAAAGAAATGTGCACTGAACGAAAATACAAGTAGAAAGAAATAAGCTTTGCCTCTTCTCAGAAGTACTAAATAACAAGATGAGATAACTGCAAGTGGCTAGATTAACTCATCCGTTGATGTTAAATTTGTTTTTACTTTTTTCAAGCTCATATTTGCAAGCTTTATTAAATATATATTTATTGGAACAGATTATACAACATTTTCATAATATTTTACAACTGGAATTATCAAGTGATAGAACTTTGTGGGCAAACGAAACAATGGCGGATGCAGGTTGCGCAGAAGACAGATCACAAAAGATATGGCATTGGTTATCTTTCGATCCGGTCAGTGGACGCGCAATAAACGCAAATATTGACTTTTTGACTGAGCGATGCAATCCTTCGTCAGATGCGGGAACACTCCAGAAGTGATTGTTTGGATCCATACAAAAATGTGAAATATTCTTTGTTGGATAGTGTCGTCTGAAGAACTTTGTGCGGGTATTATCGGTTAAGGTAATGCCCTGATTAGATACCTTAAAGTGGACCTCCAACGGAACTGGACGCTTATGCTCGGTGAGCATTTCGAAAACCGCCTTCCGAACCGCATCGTCACCGGTAAGGGACTCCATATCACCTTGAAACAAGTAAAGTACATTGCAGGCCGCACCCTGTGCAAGCATCTGTTTTTGGTTGTTAATCAACTCTTCGTTATTGGAGACATACAAATGATCGCGATCTGGTAATATAAGGGTGCACGGTAGTGACATTTGATTAATTGAATGCTCAAAGACAAATGCGGATAAGGATGTAAATATTGGTTCATTGACGCATCCCATAAGACAAACACCACGCGTTGTCGGCTCCAATAGAAAATGTCGGACCAGCTGGTTTCCATATCCCGGTCCTGTGACTACGCCGGGAGGAGGCTTAGCGACACGCAGCACCAAACCAAATGCATTTTGATAGGTTGTCGAGTTACGAATAATAAATGTTCCGGGCACCGCATCACGCAATAAATCGACGGCTTCTTCGCGAGACATGTTGGGCTTATACCAGAACTCTGACAAATCCTTTGCAAATTTGACTAAATGCGGATCAACTTCTTTAGTGTTGCTGATGTTATCAAAATGTTGGATATTCTGTTTAGTTTGCTGTGTTGTTGCACCATTCTCGTCGATCATCAGATTATTGAATGGTTTTGCAACTGGATAAGGACTGACACAGCGATCAGTGTTCCCGATGTTTTGAACATATGGAAAGGTCGGCGTTTTTGATCGACTCTTTTCCTCCAACGCTAAGTCCGGTTTTTTGTATTTAGTTAAAGAACGTGTTTCGACATCAGGCAGGTCTATGGACTCAATCTGTCTGTCCTTAACTTCTTTGGCGGCAAGTAACGGTCTGTTTAACTTCCTATGCAGCTCATCCAAATCCCTCTGAATTGTTTCATCCTGTAATAGCTCTCTGGCAGAGTCTTTGTTTGCTTCAATGGCTTGCACCTTTCGTTCCATTAGCATATCTTCGAACTCCTTCCGTGAAGGTGTCTTCCGCACCAATGGACATGAAGCAGATATACTCGGTCTAGCAGTTTTGCGTACTATGTTATTGCTCTGGGATCCCGAGGAAATGTTATGCCCAAGTTTAGTATCCAATATCTCCAAATGATTGCTGGTGTCACCGACATGATTCAATTCGCTGGTATTAAAGCCCACGGGAATATTGCCGTAAGTAAACGGAAGTGCATTCTCCCGAGCATGGTATGGAATATTTTCTGAATCGGTGTCCGAATTTCCATTGTGCTCAGCATTTTGCACAACAGATGGTATCTCATGCTCCGAGGCCATTGAAAAATTCGTTTCAAAATATACGTGTATATTTTTACAATCCGTAATGTATAAATAGTTCCTCTATATATATATGCATATGTATAACGTTGAGTCACACAGCACACACGTCTGCTAGGAACCAATACTGACAGTTGACTAACGAAAGAGACTATTCACTAGTCGGTTGGCATACTATACCCTCACATCTGGTATTATTGTTATGTCACGAATTGTGTAATGAGTTGATAGAACCATTTCCAATTTTAATCGAGCATATACGTCATTATAGTTTTAAAAATTTCTTGTTTTTTACAGATATATTTATAAAACTATAAAATTTTTTTATTATTTTTTTTCCACCAATTTTATATTTCATCGTTAAAAATGAGAACTTCAAAATAAGGAAAAATTATTACTTTTCTGCCTATGCTGAGGCAGAGAACCAAAATCACTATTCGCAATAGACTCCAATGATCGCAATAAAAAAATTTACTTGCTCAGCGAAAAAAATATCATTGAAATTATTAGAGATAGTGTAGTTTTTTCTCTCCATTGCAAATTAACGAAAAATTTTATGAAAATTTTTTAAATGCACACGGAATGATTTTATTTAATGATTCTGCAAGGGAATTTAGCTTTTTTAATACGATATATTATTTGTATCTGTATATTTACGTGCGCCGACATATGCATATTTACATATATACATAGAAAAGTGTTTGTAAATATGTACTTTTACATATATATAGAAAAGTGTTTGTAAATATACACACATTATATCACACACATATATATACATATATCATATAGAACTCATTGTTCATAAATTAACTCTAAAATAACATGTGGGAAAATTTTGTAGAGGCGCAAGTCTGCATTTATGAGAAATTTGACACACAATCTCCACCAAGAAAAGTCAATTTTGGACAGCTCCATCATTTCGAAATATTGTTCATAAAAATATTTATTTAACGCAAATGCTTCGCACACAAAAATGCGGATGCAGCCAAAATATAAACACACAAAAATACTAAAACACTAGTTGAATGTAGTTGTATCGACTTTTTTGTCTCTGTGATCAAAACTGTTTGTATACATGCATATTATGAGGTCGGAGACGGCTACTCCAATTCATTACACATTTCCTAGCAATTGTTATTTTTCTCTGATATTTTTTATCAAAAGGAAATTAAAATATATCAATTTTGTGTACAGTGCAAATAAGATCAGCCCCAATTAATTATAATTGTACAAAAACAAATAATTAGTGAAAAAGTTGCAGTTGGACAAACTGACTGCGTAATACTCTGATAAAGGCGTATATCCAGCTGAAAGCATGTGAAAAAATAATCTTTTTAAAGGGTTGGAGAGTTTGTCAGTGGGTACAGCTCAATCTTTAAGATTATATACCTTACCAATTTGGGAATACTGTCTCCAAGATTGTGAGAGACTTTCGCGATTTGTAAGGAAGGAATGGGCATAGACGGATTCCTTTTTAAGTACCTTATGAGGGGTATATTAGTCCAAGTTTAGTATCTCTAGCTTTATAATTGAGGGAGATTTTTACACAATTTTATGAGGAAAATTTATTTCCGTTTTCTAAAGGTGTACGTCTAAAATTGTGGGATCTATCGGCTTACGACATTATCGGAGGTGGCTTGGAGTATTATAGACCGATCTTTGATATGTTATCGAGTTTTCAATATAGTTTCTTTGTTTATAATCAGAGCATTAAAGCAACTTAAGTTTTAATTTATATCTGTATGAATAAGAGTAAATGGAAATTAAAAACAAGTAGTAAAAGCTTAAAAGTGAAAATGGAACTTCAGTTGGAAATCAAGTCGCGCTTGAAAGATCCTTGAGTGACTTATATTAAAGGTTTGAAGCTGGAGGCTGTATCCGGGAAAAACATTGTGAAAAAATATAGAATTTTTGCTTTGATAAAAAAATATTCTTCAGCTGAACTTCCCAAATAGTGAAGCAATAAATGCTTATGTATATTTATATTTTTTTAATTTTTTGAGGACAGCTAATTTATATATGAAAACATATTTTTGTAAACAGGAAGATACACATATAACTATCACATAAATATAATTGATCTTAAAATATTTAATCTACAATAAGGCAGTCAAAAATAAACTTTATAATTAAACTAGCTTGTAGTCTACGCAGACGCACTTTTACATATCTCAACAATACTATTGTTTAAATGTAATTAATAAGTATCAGTTTGTTTCGTTTTCGAACACAATATAATAAGTAAATGAAGTAATTAAATTTACTTTGATCAATACCGGCAGTGGAAAAGAACTTTTAGGAAATAATGGAAATTGTCTGTATACGAGTGTCTCGTTTTGTTCTAGGTGGTGGAATAGGAGGATTAGGTGGATTAGGTGGTGTGCTCTGCAAACTTGGCAATTGACTGCCATTCGTGCCCTCTGCACTTTTCACAAGCTCATTGGTTGACATAATGGGCTTAAGGACTTTGCTCTGTGATAAATTTACTAAAGAGGCATTTTTTTGTTTTTGGCAGAATTTGTTTGAAAATGTGTCTTTCCATTCGGTAAACTTGGTAGGCTTGAAAAGCTTATACACAACACATATGCCTATGGCAGAGATCATCAGTAATAAGATAACGACGATCAAAATTATTAACCAAGTGAAGTGTTGTTCGTCATCCAATTCTACTTGGTCACTCTTCGGAGTCGTAGGTGGTGTTGTAGTACGATGCACTGGTCGAACGGGACGATTTGGAATACGGGCATCTGTAGTTATTGCTATGTCTGAGCATGCGCGAAACTCCTCCTGTGGACCACAGCCAACTGCACCGCTGCCATCCTCACATAGCCCCCAATTATTTCCGGCTATGTAACGCCACTGCAGCACACATTGATTGCATAGCAGATCTGAAGTAAATCAAATTGACATTTATACAGAAGCTCTATTAGAAAGTGTTAAAAACAAAAACCATATACCAGGCAAGCGTGCGGTGATTTCATAAATGCGACTCCCATTACGGGGATAGAACCGAGTGTCCAAGTCTGTTGGATGATGCTGCGAGGGGGAGCCGCGAATTAAATGCAGGACATTTTTATCAAGGCAAAACTGTTTAGCAGCTGGTTTTTCGCATAATCTAAACTCAAAATATCTGTGAAGAGAATACATTTGGCTTGAAATCTACTGAGGCAATCGTCTATTTTCCTCTTACCCCATATGACTGGCAGTCAACTCCACCCGAATTGTCATCTCCGAGCCTGGCAAATAACTTCGTACAACTACACCCTGGCCCCATTGACCTCCATTTTCATGAGGCCGTGGCTCGGACAAGTCCCAGGCATCGCCACACTCTCCACATTTGCCACCATTGCGTTTCCACTGTCGAGTAAAGCCACCGCAATAAAGTTCGTGATCATTGTAATCTGGCGGTGTCTGGAACCCATAACGCCAGGCTGATGCCCTACTTGGTGGCTCAATAAGTCTTCCATGGGCATCGCCGAAGTAAACTACGCATGAGATAACTAGGCAGAAAATAAGACACGTTCTTGAATTCAGCATGAGATGGTCTTCTTGTGGCATCACCTGAAAAAGGAGAGATAAGTATCAGTGATTTTAATATCTAATATAATACTATATAAGTCGACAGAAGTAAATTAGGCGGCTTGCCAGTAGTACAATTCAATACATGCCTTAGTACATACTTCCACCCGAGGAAGTATGCCCGGACCACAGGCAACCGTAGCATTATACAAAGACGGCCCAAAGCTTGAAAATAGCCTTGGCGGAAGCGTTTACTCAACACAGCTTAACATTCAGCTGTAAAGCTGTATACAGCCATAAGCGAAGCACTTAATTGCCTAAAGAGGTCTAAGGTTTGTCCATGTAACGTAAATATATAATGTATATATATTGCAAACTTCTACACGAGATGGCCAATCAGCGTGTTACAAACCTAATCTGTGCGCCTGGATACCATAATATAGAATGCAACAACAAAACTGATGAGCTAGAAAGGGCACTCTATTACCCCTCTCTCGGATAAGGAAGGTATATGTAAGCCTCTGGCGCAAAAAGATAAACGGCTAAATGCCAACTATGGTCGCATAGCACGCCAAACCTGGTCTAATTTAAATTTTAAATAGTAAACGCAGTAAAGAACTTTGTAGTTTAAGTCGCACACATTACTCTGCAGTGATGCGAACCATACTCGACCATTGGTTAGTGGGTATCCATGCCAATAGGCTCAAAGCACTCTACAGTGATTTCTGCAAAAGCTGAATACACGAAGAGGAGGTAGAATCTCCCGAACACTTCCTCTGCTTCTGCGCTACACTAGAAAAATACTTTCTATAAAGGCTAACAGAGTTAGAGAATATAGGACCAACCCGAATTGCGAAATTTTAAATGCAACTGGCTGATTTACCCCCTGATTGATGCTGACATGATTGTCATAAAAATGTCGTGAGATCCATACGGTACCACAACGGACCAAAAATGGCCAATCTGTGTCGACCTTGGTCGGCAACTGTCAAACCTAACTTAACCTAAACTAGACGATATCCTGAATTAAAGAATTCGAAGTTGATTTTTATTATGCCACAGATAATTCCAACCGAATATCTTTAAAATTGAGTCCTATATTGCTATCGATAACAGGCTGTGTTATTAATTTAATAAATAAACTTGAGCTGCGCTTGGTACATATGCCTTATTTTATCTCTGAAATCAGACGAACAGTAAGGCAGATAGGACTAGGTCCACTGTGCTATTAATGCTGATGATGAATATATATTTATTTCTTATGTGGTCATATATCTGCCTGTTGTCCACTTCGCACAACTTTCTTATACCCTTTCTATTCATCTTTTATGGGTATGGTATGCTTATAAAAATCAATATTAAAATGCTAATTGGCATCAGTCAGATACGCAGGTTCCACCCACGGAGGATGGCTAAAAAAAGCATAAAACGGATTAAGATTCAGTTTACTTCATACCAAAATTAAATTCAATCCGTTGACCGGAAAAAGTGGATTCACCAACTTCGACTTATTGAATCATTTGATCATCGATTATGACATTTTCGAAAGAGGACTACGAAAATACATTTCACACTTTTACTTCCGCAAAAATGTTTTTCTGATCCCGGAAATTTTATTTATATAAGCTGAACATATTTACATGTATTTATTGTTTTTTTTTTGGAGATAAATCGGGCAATGAAATCACGGCATTACATCTTAATACGTATTGCGTAGATTTAGTTCAGTATGTATCAATAATAACATGAACATGAAATATGTATTGTTAAGTGATGCTCGCGATTATTCGTTATGCGAACTTCTTGAATTCGTATTTTCAACGGTTTTATATATTTTGGAAATAAGAGAACTGGTTTAAAATAAAAACATGTTGAAACCCAACTGTCACGCCGACGATTGCATTCCCTTACAATTCCACATACTATTTTAATGATTAAATTAATATAATAATAATTTGGCTGCAACATAAAGTTGGATATAATATAAAGCTTTAAAGCATTGCTTGTAACGCTAATGAAAAATATTATGAACTTCAAGAAAAAATTATAATACCTGCAAGGGTATAAGCAAAATTTAAGTTATGCTGAACCAGAACCAGTCTAAATTTCTAAAGACGACACTTAATAAGCAAACTGGTAAATATGTACATATTTTATACTCTGTTCGAAAAGAGAAAATGAGAGTGCTGGTTTAGTGATTTTATTTTCACATTCTTTTGTGGAAAGCCCGTCTGGATCTCAATCCTTTTTTTCTTTTTTTTTGAGTTACATTCTTAAAATTTTTCACTGATAAACAATATTATAATTTTATGTGTGCTTTATCTGCAGTCAAAAAATGTGAATAGTAAAAAAAAGAACTATGATCACCTTAAAAAGGCATTGTTGTATATTTAACAGACAGAAGCTAGCACCTCCGACACCATAAAGTGATTTAAAATATTATCCCTTATATGAGCAAATTTTTATTTCCAATGTATATACATATTACGTAGAATTAACACATTATAAAGATACACAAATACGCAGATATATGAACTTTCATTGTCTAACTTTCACCTTTATGCACTACTCAATACACTTATATAGCAACGACCATGCACATAAGCGTGGATATACGCATATATGTCTTTGTGAATTCAGTGAATACATAGCAGTAATTATGTACATATGCAGATATATTTATTGTTGTGGAACTGCGACTTCAAGCTTTTGAATACATATGTACAACTTGAGTAAATGGATACTAAAAGAAGTTACTCCCAAAAATGAGTTACTCACATAAATGTAGCAAATTAGCAAGTCTTAAAGTTTTTGCAGCAATCTATGACTCGTTTTTACGTTATCACCTAAGGTGTGTGCCGCGATTCTTCAAGTAAGTTTAAATCACAAACTTGTGGCTGCTGACAAGTAAAAGCCTTTCACAATTTAACTCATATATTTTGTTTAGCTTTATTTAAAGAAATTGAATTTCGTGCACCATCCAACAGCTTTAAAACAATACTGAGTCGGCTCGAGTCCAAGCATGCGGATTTCAGTCACTTTTTCGGCTCTTTGAGTTGTTTAACTGGTTTGGAGAAATTTTTTTCGACGCTGAAGAGCGTCGCTTGACTGAGTATGCTCCAAAAAAGTATTGTTTCATGTGCTGTTTTGTTGTCTTGCTGTCGCGATCTTAACCTATGTAAGTTGTAAGTTTTGAAGCGCATTGTATGCGGCATGTTGACTGTGGTCATGATTCAGAGCCCAAGAAACTGTAAGTTTACCATTAATGCAGATCGCCTTCCCGGTCTTAGAAGTATTGTGCTTAGGTAACTTTATAGCTATTTTTCACACACTCGTAAGCATATAAAAATTACGAATCTGCACATTATAACCTGGTACTGTGTAACTGACATAAATACATGTATAATTTGTACTACCAGTGACAGAAAATCATTGAATAACAGTAGCACATACACTTACGTATATATTTTGGCACTTCGCCCAGTACAGCGTTTGACACGTTTGTAAGACAGCAAAAAGGTGGAATTTTAACTCGTGGTTTTTGGCGCTGATCAAAAATGTATATATATGTATATATATACATATATATACATATATATTGTCAAAATATTATGGTAAATGGCCAAGGGAAATTCAATACTGCGGCGCTTGTAATTTTAAATTAAATTCCACCGTTTAACTGTTTGTTTGATTTTCAATTGGCATACTAATTACTTACAGTTATACCTATTTTTGGACCTGTATAGCGTGCCAATGTTTTTGTTTCCTTCCAGGTAGTGGGGCTTGAATTTGTATCAATGCGTTGCAAAAAAATGAAGGTGCTGGTCCCAGTTTTGCCAGTCAGTTTATTATTGTTGCTAATTTTAGTTGTTTAATCAGTTTTTTTAAATTGAGTTGATTACTTGGTTTCAATACTTTTATTTACTTAAAGTCAGCGACCAGCGGATTATAACAATAAGAGTAAGAAGCTCACTTTTGGCAAACAAAATATGTTCTTTTCCTGTGTTTCAATTACTTAAAACAAAGTTCAGCATTTAAAATTTAATTATCTGCTTTGAGAATATAAGAATGTTCGTTTCTGAAGCGATGCTTTAGCAAGATTGCCAGTTAACCAAGTGTTAATAGTTAAAATTCGTGATAGAATATTATTATAAATATATATTTTATTATAAATCTTTTATTTTATATGTGAATGTCAGAAATAAAACATTTGATTCAAATTTAACAGCCATGTTGTACCTCTCTTCGTTTGCCATAAAAATGTTAAACGTTACCATATGTTAAGTTATGCTCATTATGGCATGCATAACATATGTACAAAATGCATATAACATAAAATAACTCATTTTCATCGATTATAGTAAATGATACGAATTCCTCCAAACACTTTTCATTGAATTTAAGATATTTGAATGTGAATAAGACATCGATTAAAATACGTATATGCTTATGATTATTTCTATTATATTTATAAAATATCTTTTAAATTATTTTATACTGATGCTGTTAAAAATGCATTATTTTTTTCCAATGTGCATCACAATTTTATAATTATTGATTTGACAATAATCGAATTATTTGCTTTACTTCTAAAAAAAAAAAAAAACTGTTTAACTAAGCGCATGCATTAATATTGTTTAAAGCCACTAGTCGACTTAAAACGACACCGCAAAGTATGCAGCAACTTTATTTTTCCCAATAAAATACCTTCATTTATTCTGGCGTCGATTTCAGATTAAATTTTCTTGATTTTCTCGAATTCATTTGACATTGCTGCTTTTGGGAGTCTGGGGATCACCTGGGGATATTTCAAACAATTTCAATCCATTCAACTTGTAGATGCAATCCGCATCTATATTTCTCCTTAAAAAAAAACAATTTTTAGAAAAATTTATAATTATAAATTGAATGCATCGCATCGAAACTGTTATAGAGAAGAAATATCTTATGTGCATAGCAACTAAGTTTGCTAGGGCATCCAAATTAATGTTGCTGTTACTGCTCGTTCCCAAAATCAGATACAAACTCCATGTCGCTTAGCGCTCCGTGTTATATTCGATATATATTTGGTCAGATCGCGGGAGGCGATAATACTAATATTGCATTCTGTATAAGAGAAGGTGTATGCCGCAATAATTATTATGGCTGATTTCAACTCCTGAAATATAGTTATTTTGCCAACAGCATGTCTGGTCCACAGAAGTGTATATGAATATGAATATAAGCGGGCTAGTTGCGTTTACCATATTCATATATTCCTAGACCAGCCACCAATAATTTTCTTGCTTTATTTGCCACCCCTAATATGGCCTAGTGTGGGTGGAATTTCTAAATAAATGTAACAGTTTATATATAAAAGCTACAACCACTTTCTTATACTTCATAAATGCAGACCAACAAAAATTGAAGTTGAAATATCCGTATATACTGTCGTGTGTTAAAATAAATACATATAAATAATTCAAATAAATAAATATGAACAAAAGAAATGACGTCAAAGACTTTATAAACATGATATATTTTTACTTTTTTGTAATATATACCCCCGTTAAAATTAAAAATTTTTAATTATTTTATTATTATGAAAAGTTAATGAAAACTGAGAATGATATATTTGATGTCTAAAATAACCTTGGAAAACCACGTAACCACCACTAACCAGCTCGCCCCATCAAGCATAGTGTTTGGATCGTCAAAGCGGTAAAATCCATTTCTGTGCATTTTTTAAATGTATATATTGATTTTTGGCTTGCTTCTGAGTTAGATTCCATCAATAAAATACCAATATACAAACGTACCTGAGATTCAGGATGGTAGCAAGCACACTTTATGTCAGTGAGTCCAAATACTGATGTGTTTCGTGTAAATCTGCCGGTTAATAATATTATGTTGTAAAGCGGCAGATTATAGAGCTTTCATATTTTGTAGTGTCGAAACGAAGCCATAGCCATAGCCCTCGACTCTGTTGGTCATAAAGCTATTTAAACGGACTCAGCGAAATCGGCTTTAAAACAGATAACAGTTGATTTTAACTACATACAACTCTCATGATCCTTCACACGCTAAGGATGTACATGGAAGGTAAAAAACTGTAACGCATCTATATGTATATAGGAGCTTCGGCTTATAAGGCATTCGCAGACCAGAGTGTGGATATTTCTGATAACGAGCAACTGTCAATAGGTATTCGATTTTTTGATGAAATCCAAATATTAATTCATGAAGAATTTGATGGATTTGATGTCTTTTGACACAGATACAATAAGCTGATAAAACTTAAAACTTGAAATTAACTTTGACCCTGAAAAGTGTGTGAGACTTAATTTCAATGCGCCCGTCACAGGCTTATTTTGTCATTAATGATCTGAATGTCGGTCCAAAAATTCAAAACACAATATACATTTTTTTACAACTCGGTAATTCGTAGACAAGATGCGCAAAATTCGCTTTCATTTTGTGAAACACTATTTTCTGAGAGGTATGTAACCATAAGCGATTTCAAAAAATTTTAGTTGAAATAGTTTCTGGACTCGAAAAACTGAATATGGAAGGAAATTCAGCCATAAGAAAACTAACATTTAAATTGTACAGTGCCGCTCGTAGGAGCGTATCTTATTAAATATGACGAACAAATTTAAAATATCCAAACAATATTTGAAAAACAAACTTCAAGAGGATAGAGTAGTTTTTAGAAGAAATTTTAGAAGATTCCATTGATTAAGCACAAAAGAGATTTATTTAAGTTAGTTTTTACTAAAGAAATAAGACTGTTCAATTAGTTCTTTGAGGAGAGTTAATTCCTGGCTACGAAAGCCGCTGCCTGAATCTCATTTAAACGGTAATTAAAATCAATTATTTTGTTTTACAAAACAGGCTCATGAACGCTTTAAAATATGAGATTTAATATTAGATAAGTTTTCCATAAATATAAAATTAAAAAATTTAATTGCAAAATAAGGTTAACATTGAACAACTGACGCGAATCTGAATTCAGCAACAGAGAAAACAAAGTAATGTGCTTATATTTTGTCAATTAGTATTTTTGTGAAATATTTTGTATTAATGTAAAATAACGAAAAATTTTCTTGAAGTAACGAAATGCCTGATTACGGGTTTTATACGTTAGTGCGGGTGGTACTACCACTCTCATTAATATTTGGTAAGATGTCCAATACGATAGACGACACAATGACAGCAACCACTAACGCTATATACACAGCTTCCCTATCGCGGCCTGTCGCAATATCGATGATATATCTAATATTGTTTTTGGTTTCACCTTGGCTGTCCAAACGAAGGGCATTCAAAATATTTCTGGCTTTTGCTTTTTCACTGAGTGCATTATTAGCCATAGGCCATCTTGCTGTAAACCTTATACATTTCATGTTGGTTTACGTTAAAATAAAACCATCAGTATCGATGATCTTACGTCAAGTTGGGTTTGTGAATTTTATGGGAGTACGGTAAGCAAAACTGCGAATCTATTATGAATCTTAACTATAACTTTCTCTATAGAGTAATTTCAGTATTATATTGGATTTGTCCAGATATCATGGTAACAATTATGACTTTGATTTTGCTCATTTTTATAACAATATCTGGTAAGAAAAAATCGCAATCAAAACACTTTGAGGAATCCAAAAAATCCGAAGAACATAATATTGAAAATCCAACAGAATTTCTAAAATATTCTGAAATGAATCGTCTTATGATAATTGCATACATTCGATATATTCTAAAAACAAGTAATAATTTTGGAATAATACAAACTCTACCCTAATAATACATTTTCTTTTATACAGCTCCACTTTTTTCCCTTATGATACTATATATTGCTTCCACTTTAAGACCATCGCTACCTAGCAGCTTATACTTCATTATGTTCATGGTGGCTGGTACATATTGGGCTCTATACCGACAGATATATGGGTATTTATAACAACAACAAAAAGCTGTCTTCGGTACGCCGAAGATATAATAACCTTCAAATCGGGGTCCACCCGATTATAGTTAAGTTTAATTCATTATTTTATATATGAATTATTTGTCGTTAAGGTTTAACGAAAATATTTTGAACATACTATTATTATTAGGGGGGAAGCTACACCGCGACCTATTTGATATATTGTGCCCCCCTTCTGAGCCTATAGCTCTTCCATCAGCCCCAACTCCCTTACGAACGTAAGGATCTTTGTTGGGTTGAAGTCTACTATGTCTTTGTAATTCAAAACATGCGCCCCTAGGATGCTGCTTCTTCTTCTAATTAAGGCGACACATTCTGCCAGGATGTGCATCGAGGATTCCTCCTCTCTTTCACAAAACCTGCAGAGATCGCTACTATATATACCCAATTTTGTCAGGTGACTCCTTAGTCTACAGTGTCCTGTCAATAGACCGGTAAGTATCCTAAGGTTGTTCTTTCCCATGGTTATAATCTGTTTAAAACGTACAAGATTATAACCACCAAGGAGGCATCTGGCTTGTCGGAGTCCTACTGCCTCTGACCAGCTCTGATGCCGTCTCTGTCTCTCCTCGTTTCTAAGTTCCAGTCGTATAGTGTGTCTCCCTATGCCACAATACGGTTCTGGTCCTGTTAGGGGCCTTTCTGCCCCCATTCTTGCTTGCTTGTTAGCCGCCTCATTTCCCGCTATGTCCCTGTGACCCGGGACCCATCGTAGGATGAGCCTGTACCTTCGATGTTATCTTAGTCCCCATTATAGCTTTCAATGCTGCTTGACTATCGGATAGGATGGATATATCCGTATTCCGATAGTTCCGTTCTATGTTGATGTCCGCACATTTTCCTATCGCACACACCTTAGCCTGAAATATGCTGGTGTGCGTTCCCAGGGATTCATGGTAAAATACCCGAGGACCCACCACTCCAAGGCCGGTGCCCTGATTCGTGAGTGATCCATCGGTGTACCATTTTATGGTGTGCGGTTTCATGGGATGGACTTCATCCAGAGTTGTCCATTCCCTTTTACTGCTCATACGAACTGTGAAATTTCGCTCGAATATGTATTCGGCTGCCATTTCGTCCCTAGGTTGCGTCAGTAGGGGTAGTTCGTTTGAAAGGAGTTGGGCATCTTTATGGCTTAGGATATGGTTGCCCCCAACTCCTTCTGCGGATATCCTGAGAAGCGTAGCTTTCTGCTTGAGCCTTATGATATGGTGGAGTGGAGTGTGAGCTCCATTAAGGCTTCAAGGGCCATTGTAGGGCAGGTGCGCATAGCTCCTGTCATACATACGCAGGCCATTCTTTGCAACTCTTGGAGTTGTTTCTTCACGGTGATCATCCGCGCCCTGTCACCCCATGCAACCACCCTATAGGTTAACATGGGTCTTACTACCATCAGGTACAGCCATCTTAATATTTTTGGTGATGTTCCCCATGATTTGCCAGCAATACTACGACATGTATAAAGCGCCCTGGAGCACTTTAATATCGTGTTTTGCACATGGGTGCCAAAGTTAAGTCTACTGTCCATCTACTGGTAGTATGGTCCAAGCCCCTTCTCGCGAGGGTAGCCTTAATCGCATCATGAGATGTGTTATTAAAGGCGCCTTCTATATCTAAGAAGGCGCACAATGCTACTTATTTATTATCAATTGCCGCACTCAAAGTACCGTGGACCTGCCTACTCTGTATACATGCTGCGTTGGGTGCAGCGGCCTTTGCTTAAGCAAAATGCTTCTGATTTTATAGTCCACCAGCTTTTCCAACGTTTTCAGTAAAAACGATGTTAAGCTGATGGGTCTGAAGGACTTTGGGCTGGTAATGTCTTTCTTCCCTGCCTTGGGGATGAAGACTACCCTAGCTCTTCTCCATGCGCCCGGTATGTATCCGAGGGCTAGGCTACTTACTAATGCTTTCCTAATACGGGAGAGAAGTATTTCCTGTCCCGTTTGAAGGAAGGCTGGCGATATGCCGTCCATTCCAGGGGACTTATAGGGTTGGAATGTTCCAACTGCCCAATTAAGTCTCTCCCTTGAGACTGTCGACTTGGCGCATGCCCAGTCGTCAGTTGACGGCCTGTATCTACTTTCCCTCTCGATAGCCTCTTCCTACAGGGGTGTACTTCCTGGAAAGTGTGTCTCGAAGAGTAATGCTAGTTTCTGCAGATCAGTGTTCGTAAAGGAGTTATCCCCACGCTTCAGTGCTAAGTTCGCATCTATGGAGCCTAGCGCCTTCGCTTGTGCTAACTATGCCTTCGCAGAAGTTTCTGTAATTCTTCCGTTTGGCCTTCCTTATCTCCTTATTATAGGAGGTCAGGCTCTCACGGTACTGCTCCCATATTCCGTCCCTCTTTGCCTTATTGAAGAGGCGACGTGTGGTCACGCGCAGCCTTTCTAGGCTGTCGTTCCACCATGGGGCATCTTTTTCCATATACTTTTTCCCTACCGGGCAGTTATCCTCAAATGCCTTGGTTATGCATTTATTGAGGTAACCAATAGCCCTGTCAAGCTCTAGCGGCCTTCTGGGATTACCAGATAGCCCGTTGGCTAGGGAAAGTCCTAGGGTCGACTTGTACCCTTCCCAGTTGTTTTTTCTAGGGTTGCGACTTTGTGTGCTACTATCCGTATTTAATTTTAAATTAAATAGGATAGTCCTATGATCAGACATGGATTCCTCTTGGGAAACATGCCAGTCCCTAAGGTGAGGCTTTAGGGATCGATTGATCAGGGTGATGTCTAGCACTTCTTCCCTGATCCTGGTGACAAATGTTGGTGTAGATCCGACATTACCTAGTTCTAGATTATATTTGAAAATAAAATCAGTTAGGCACTCACCCCTTAGATTGATGTCACTGCTGCCCCATATAGTATGGTGCGCATTGGCATCGCATCCGATGAGCACCGGCATCTTCTCTTTTCTGCAGTACTCCACCAGCTTCTCGATCTCTGGTGGTGGGTAGGGTGCATCCCCTGCGAAGTATGCGGATACGATAACCATAGAGACCGCGCTGCCCTTGGTGTACACCAGTAAGGGAACGCAGTCTCTAGTCAGGAATTCTGAAAGGATAGTAAAGTTAATACTTTTCCTTACCATGATACAAGCTCTGGGTGCTGGATCTCTCCGATCCCAGATTACCTTTGAGTCGACTGTGAACAGGCCCTTGATGCGATAATTCACCCACGGCTCCTGTACCAGGGCCAGCCCAAGGTGTTTGTTGGTAAACATCCTTGCTAAGACCGCCGAGGCTGCCTTAGCTCGGTGGATGTTTACCTGAGCTAGCCCTGTGTTGATGACCTTTGACATCTACTTTTGGGGAGGCTCCAGCTGACACGGTGAATGGGGCCTGGAGCAGTCCCCGTCACCGCTGCTCGTCATAGCTCGTCCTCCAGCTCCTGCGAGGACATGGGGATATCGTCGTCCCCCAGCATCTCCGCCTGGCAGAGCGTCGCATCTGCCAGTTCTTCGTCATCTGCGAGGTCCTCCGACGGGTCGGTGGGCTGCGCAGTCGGACTGCCCTGCTCCGGGGCAGGAGTGTGCGATGTGGTGGTGTTGCCCACCGAGACATCCTCTCTGCCCGTTGGAGCAGGTTGGGGCCTTTCTCCAGTCTTCTTTTTCTTCAGTCCGCTTACGGGGATAGTCCCGTAACGGAAGAAGACCTGGTGCCCCTTCTCCACAATTACATTCTTGGATAGTTCATCTATCCCGATCACCAGGAGGGCTCCTCCACCCTCGTTCCTCCTGGAGATCACCTTCCAGGTGTCGGTCTCGATCCTGTTCTGGTTCCTCAGCAGAACCAACAGGGATTCGGTAGACCGAGCTGCACTCCTGGGGCAGAACAGCGTGATGCAGTGGGGCGACGGTATGTCGTCCCCCACCTTGCACTCAAGGGGCACGCCCTTCCACGACTGTAGCCTCGAAGTTGCGATCCTTAGCCAATTGGCTGAGGTCTCATCGGAGCATTCAATTACCAGCAATCCAACCCGGAAGTGAATGCCCACGAATGAGACCGCGACATCTCCATCAGACGCAATGACTTCGTCAATGATGGCCTCTTCCAACACAGATAAATCTCCGTGACTGAGCATGACCCTTGGGAAACCCACGGGCAACACAGCCACCTTTACCTTTTTTGCCATGTCTGCATAGGACAGGCGAGGCTCGGTGGGTGTCGGCGAGCTGGGCTTCGTGGCCGCTGCACGCGATGTGCTTGGGCGCAAGTCCAGATTACCTGCCCCATTGTTCTTCAGCACCTTTGCCGCTGCCGAGCCGCGGGCAGCGCCCACAACCCCCGGGCACATCCTCTTAGGGGTGGCCACCGGAGGTGTGAAACTGCTGCTCCGCCTTTTCGAGGCTGGCGCAGGTGCTGCAACCTCCTCCCTGGGCTCTTTGGCCTTTTTCAGGGCTTCATCGGGGCTGAGTCCCTGCTGAAGGTACCGGAGGTACCACTTGACCCTTGAACCGCAGAGATTTCTCCGGTTCGGGTCATCCAGCCCACCGGGTTGACCCCTTGGTGGCAGGAGCTCTCCCTTCCTCTTTGGGCGCTGAGCGCCTTGCCTCGCGCTGTTCGGTGTTGGGTGCGGTGGTCTGAGTGTACCAGTCATCGGTCTCCCATGCCTCACAGCCGGAGTTCCTCGTGCCCGTGGCACTCTCCTATTTGTTGCTGGAGCAGCACGGTGTGGAGGATTGTCTATCACACGCAAGGGTTGTTCTCAGTCAGGGATATGACCCTCTAATTGTCTTGCGACAAGTTCCGCAGGGAGATCCTGCGGTATCTTTATATTTAGTAACTTTTCCATGGAATCCCACGAGCTGCGGAGAAGTAAGTGTCCGCCCGGGCAAAGATCCGCAATACCCTGAATTAGAACAGGCGGTCGCCATTTGCCTGAGCTCACCGTTAAAGACTGGGCTAGTTTTTGATCCGGGCCCCCAGCCAGGCTGACTCTCGGCACGGTTCGAATAACGCCTTAGTCCGGCCCGGAGTGAGATGAGGGGATAGGATGTGGTAGGTAGTTTTGTGGGGAGATAGGGGGATGTGTGAGGCTATACTTTAGAATGCGATACAAGCGCCTTGTCGGTGCGATCGAAATAATCGCACCCGCTGTTTGTCCGGGACTGCTTATTTACGAAAAGTATCGTATTATTCGCAGCTAACCTCCCCGAGGGGAGGCCGTTCGCTATCCGCAACCCGCGACCCGCCTGGTGGCCTCAGCTCAGCCCCATCCGAACCATCCCACAAGTTCTCAGACCAGGTCTAACATACTAACAATACAATAAATATAAAAAAGTTTTTATAGAAATATTCACATTTCTATAGAAGCTATAAATATGATGTCGGCTGGCTTTGACATTTTTGCTTAAAGCTTATTGTTTAATTTGTAACTTTAATTTTCATTTTAAATTAAATATTTTAATTTGCATTTGTCAAAAACACTTTTCCAATTTGTAAACTATTTTAGTTCGCATTAAATATGTAAGTTATTTTAATTTGTTTGAATATAATGTAATCTGCTTTTATGGAAGAAAACAATCACATATTTAGCTGTATCTGTTGTAAATAATAAATATTTATTTATGAGCAACATCAAACCATCATTATAAACTAATAAAATACACATTTTTAATTGCCTCTTCACTAAATTGTTTAATTGACCTCATGGCTAAATGGCATATGGATTTTTGCTTTGAGGGTCAAACTTCGGAATCCAGACAACCATATTCAGTACTCCAGCCTTAAAGCATTGAACATCGTGAACAAATTATTCTCTGTGCGATTTTCCTTGCGAAACAATTTCGAACTTTATCAGCCGAATGAATCTAGCCATGTCCGTTCATCTATCTGTCCGTTTAAATTCAACCCGTAGGTCTCAGAGACTATAAGAGCTATGGCCATAATTTGTTTCTTATTCAAAATATCAATCAAATAAATCAATCAATCAAAAATATCAATAATTTTTTCTGCATATACATACCTATGCAAAACATTGATCAACTGTTTTAAAATTTGTCCAAGTACCAAAATTTAGATGTCGCTAAATTAAGTCTGGTGTTTTATATTTAGCTTGCCTAAGAATGCCGGTATTTCATTTTTATAATATATTTAAAGTCCAAAATTTAAATTTTGTAAGCTTTTTTTGTTATTTAGTATAAGTTAATTTAAATTATTTGGGATGCTGATTGGGTATAAATTGTAGCTGACAGCAAACAAAATAAAACTGTGTTTTTACTTACTTTTGCAGCGGTATGTATAATCCTCTAATCGTTATTGCTATAGTCTTAACGGCGCAAATCATTGGATTTGTTGCATATCAACTGCCAATAGTACAGGTCTATCTGGATAGCTGTTCAATATGGGTGCGGTAAGCTCAGTGTTTTAAAATATAGTTACATTCATAATAAAGCAATCTTAGCATTATGGGACTCGAACCAATTATGATCCTTTTTCAACAAAATTGGAATGGAATGATATTTAAGCTAAATGATCAATTAAGTGTAGATTCATATCTTAGTCCTGTTGCATTGATGGCATCCTATTTTATCATAACGCTTAATATTAAACAAAATGCCCGCTACATGATTTTCACAACAATACAATTGAAAGTGATTCCAAAACCCGATGAACAATCACAAATTACTCAAGAATCTTTACAACAAACTCTGGATACTGAAGAGCCATCATTACTGGAGCAATTTTTTTATATGATTTGTGATGTAACAACATTCATATATAAAAATTGCTATATACTGCTCAACATCATTATGATGGCAAGTACAAACTTAATTTAATTTCGCTTAAGATTATTTATCTTATACATATACTTTATTCATCATACCACAAGTAGAAAGTACCCAACACGAGAGATGTCGACGATTAGATGCCCAAGTTGTTATCTACCAAACTCAATTGTAATTTATAACTTTATCTAAAAAAAATAATGTATTTCTGTATTATTGAACAATACTAGTATTCATACTCTGATACCGAAGGTATCATAGTATATTGGTTTTCCGACTGTGGATTCCTCTTTCGCCAGATTTATATCAGCTAATAAAACAACCCTCTTATGGTGGTGGGGGAGGTTCAACAGTGTGTGGGTGTCACTCAATCTTTGAGCAATCATTAATGTACTCTTTAAATTTTGTCGTGGCGGATAAATTTGAATTTTGGTGGATACCTATCCCATTGCCTTGAGCGCCTGCTCGGTCTCCTGTTATTCAAGCCCATCTCGCATTACGAAGAGCCCTCGTCCGTTTGGTTGAGGCGCGAGAGTGTTGCACGATCTTTATCATTGTAGCTTCAGTGTAGGAGCCCAATTGGTAGCTGTGGCACTCCCAGAGAGCTTCTTTCTTCTCTGGACTGGCTTACCGATCCACTTACACTGTCTGCCTGAGCCGAGCTCGGCCCATAGCCCATTGCCTTTCCCGAATCTCTGATGCCATCCAACTTTTTGGATGTCCTGGACACCACTTGTTAAATGCTCATTAGTATTTTTATTGTTGGATGCTTCCATGTCAATGAACGACTGCTCATCTTTTCTGCCACTGACATTCTACTTGTATACCCGAATGGCAACGTTCCCTAAGCCACACACACCATTGACTTGAGCATTTTCATTCAGGGTGAGGATAAACTGTCTTCTGAGTCCTCCATCTCCACTATCCTCCAACTAGCCGTTCGAAGTGTACCTGGAGCGTTTTGAACATAGGTTATGGCTCCTTCGACTTCTCTGCTCGGCATCTTTCTCCAATCCACTCTAGCCATCAACCGACTCCTCACCAACCATGCTTGCCACCTGCAGCTCCTCCGATCGACCATGGCTCACAAATAGACGACAGTCCAAAGATTCATTTTGGAGATGAATCTGCTGTGCAGTTCGTGCAGCATTAGGCACTGTCTGTCTCGAGGAATCTGAGCATCCTCAAATAAGTCCTATGCCAATTAAAGTAAATCAAGAATCTTGATCAACGAACAAAACAGGCTTATACTCACCAGGGAGATACGGGCTTTACCTAAACAAAACCCAATATTTAGCGTAAGTGAACTGCACCAAACAACAGTTAAATCAGCATGTTGCGACCAATTAAATTGCATTCGTTGAATTCTGGAAATCAAAATATAATTTTAACGAATCAGGAGAGGAAGTGATCTCTCCAGAGGAGGTGATCTTTAAAGTTTTATTTTGTATAAAATTGATTAAGAAGAATTATAAGTTTGAAATTTCCAGTTGTAGTTATGTATTTGCTCTTAAAATTTTTAAATCTTGGGTGAAACTATCAGTAATTTCCATTTAAAATGTGCTAAGTATCCCTTTAAACTTACCTGGTCTAAGCCTTTTTCAGTGGGAGTGGACGGGCAGTAATCCGGGTAATAAGTACCAGTAATTTACCATCCAAACGCCCAAACCCGAGTGCAACCCTTTGCATAGATTATTGTTATTGATATTGAAAGAATCAATCAAGCACCGCGTGAATATCGTTAGGCACCTCTGAATCACGACTTGCGTAATACACAACATATTATTTTTATCCGGCTCATAGGCGTTTGTTCTCATTTACTAAGGCTTCTTAAGCTAAACTGTGCTCTTTTCTTATTTCAGATCTGGTCTATAGTTTATCATAGCTGGTTAACTTTCGTGTTGCTTATTTGGGCAAATATCTTGTGGATGATACCCAACCAGCGTCGATCAATGATGCGTACGAGTTTCTTTGTTGTGATGTACGCTGAGTTTCTCCTTATTGCACAGTATATTTATGGAATGAATTTAAGTAAGACGGAGCTCCCCACCAAGGTGATATATGCATATTCATAGAATTTCATTTAATATATATTAAATTTAGAAAATCATATAACTATTTTACAACTTAATCCATCAATATATAACTTTCGGAATCTGACAATCCATATTATTGCTGTTAATTGTTAACAGCTTCCTCACTATACATTTATAATTATTACCATACAAAATATTTCAAATTAATTTTTGTATTTATTAAAAATTAAGATACTGTAATTAAATAATTAATATCCATAGATATACGGATTAAATCTTGCACAAATTGGATTTGTCCATCCAATGGATAGCGGCGTGCAACCCTGCATTCCATTATTTATTAAGACTGCATTTCTTTGTATATTCTGGATAACTTCGCACCAATATTTCAAAGAGAAAGCTGATGACAAAAAAGATATACTATCTCAGATTTTTAGTCCAAAACATTCACGATCTGAACAACCATTGTTTGAGAAGTCAAGGACACCTCGTGCAATTTTATTTGTTTTCGAAAGTGTTTCAAATTTTGTCACCCGTATCTGGATGTGGATGCTGATCTTTTTAATATTTCTCTGTGCTATGCTTGATCAAGTCATGACTGGATTTCGAATTTGTTATATGTCACTGTTCCTTCTATTTCTAATGGTTTTTCATATGTCATTGCACCTCTGGATAAAGTTTTTGTTCGGCTATTGGATGTTTGTTATATTCTATGCGATGACTATATTAACAATTATATACACTTACCAATTCGACTACTTTGACCATTATTGGGAGGAGTATTTCCATGTTCATCCCAAGTTGTAAGTCAACCCTATGCATTTGCAAACACATTCAATAACCATATTTTCCCTTAGGCAAAATGATATTGGGTTGCGGCGCTACCAAACTAAAGATCTATGTCTACATTTGCTTGTACCGACATTAACAGTAATTTTCACGGTCGTTCAACTTCATTATTTTCATCGGCGCTTTATGCAATCCGTTCGTGAACCATTTTCAAACGAAAGACATAAAGTCTCTCAAGTGCAATTTAATAACAATCCACACAAATCCAATATACGCAAAAAGTCATGGAAATCAATATTGTCTATATCGTATAGGAAATTACGTTCCAAAATTAAACGATGGTTTCGACCTAGCAAAGAAGTGGCTTGGCGATTTCTTGAAATCCACATGATTAAGGCGGTCATATTGACGACCTTTACTTGTGCTATTTCAGAGATTTGCTGCTTTAACCTTCTGCTTCTTCTATCCTCGTTGTTGAGTGTTTGTGTAAATCGCCTTATACGACGTGTAATTTTTCGAATAGTGACGTTTTGGGTTTCCGTTTTAATACTGATGAAAATGATCTATCAAATAGACTATTTGGACAAAACAACCTACGATTATACATGTGTAAGCCTGCATTTATACTTATTAAACATAAAGTTAAGGAAGAGCCTATTTGTAGAGAAACAATACAGTCAACTTTGCCGATTGGATGGGTCTTCGCAAAGCTGATCAGCGTTTTGGTGCATTATTACGCTACATAGCACCATACCTTGTATACATGATCGTCTCCACATTGCATGCTGTAGTAAAGCTACGCGATCATTTAATACGAATGCCAATGGGTAGCAGACGAAACCCGAACATTCTCTTTCCTCATACAAATCGTCAGGATGCGGAACGGAATTTTCCCGAGCTCTTAAAATATCTGTTTAATTATGGATTCTTCAAGTTTGGTTTGGAAATCACCCTTATTGCACTGGCTTCAACAATTGTCCATAGACGTGATTTACTCGCACTGACATATTTAGTCTGGCTAATACTGTTACTCTGTCTGAGTAGAATGCAGAGTGCACGCATATGGTATATTATCCAACTATATTTTGTACTTTCAATATTGGTACAATACGTGTATATTATACATTTTCCACCAAATCTATGCCGTAGTAAGTATTACAAAGAATCCAAACCGTTATGAAAAGCTTTCATTGATTTGTTTTAGTTATTCCCTTGAGGTCGCATCAAATCCCGGAAAATAAAGCTGTTGAGAAACTTATAGGTGATTCAGTTAAGTCCAAACTCATGCTAGATTTTATTGTGCTCCTACTTATATCGCGTCAACGAAGCGCATTTCAAGCAGATTTAAGTCAAACGAAAAACTACACATACCCCGGTGGTGATAACAGGAATATTGTGAACAATATTGCTAAGCTCGGCCTTGTTTACTTCAAAAATCCTACGCATGACTTTTGTTCCTTTGTGCGTAACTATTCCGATGTTTTCAAAATATTAATTTTCTGTAACGCTCTCTGGGTTACACTGGCAATTGTATTTATGGGTGGCGTATGCAGTATGGATATGTTATCATTGGGGTATCTGATATTCGCTTTAGTATTTCTGCTACAAGGATCGGAAGTATATCTGCAAAATATTCATTACATCATATGTCGCTGGAATTTTCTTATAGCGCTTAATGTGTTCAACATAATTATCAAAACAAGCATTATTGTATTCGGAAATATGCTGAACGTAAAGGATAAACAAGATTATCAGAGTTTGTTCGCAGTTATGGAATATGACCAAACTTTGAGCCATCGTGAAACATATAAGCTATCCGAAAGGTCGGGTAACTACAACTATGGACCTAATAGCCTGATCTTCAATAACACCCTCATCTGGCATGCAATTATTTTTGCTTTCATCATCTTTCAGCATCGTATATTTCGATCATATTATTTTTGCCACATTATAATGGATACTCAAGCTAACACAATTCTAGCGTCGCGGTAAGTGAAAAATCTCTATCCATAACACACATCAGACATACCTTTTTGGAAGATCTCACTTTTCTTATCCTCTTGCTACACATCACCATATGATGGGTTCTCGGGCTACTCGGGGTCTCTCTATAAGAAAAATTTTATCTGACTCGCTAATATTTACAAATGAATTTCCGCAGTGGGGCTATTGTTATTGAGAACTTGCACTATAAACAAATTTATGATCGCAGAGAGTCGGAAAAGAGCGTACTTGCAGGCGTAAAAGCAAAAATGGAACGAATCAGGATTGCCAATAGGAACAACTACAAAAGTAAGTGCGATGATTTCTCGTCTCTGAATTAATTTTTTCATTGTAGAGGAACATGAGGTTACACCGAGTTCGCCAACCAGTTCGCCAACCAGTTCGAGATCGGAGGATAGTTTACATTCAAAAAGCTCAAAATTAAAAAATATAAATTTGACACGTGCGACACCATCGAAAAAGCGGAACTTAAAACTTCATCCACATGCCGTACGTTCCGGAGATTATTATATGTTTGTTGAACAGGAAGAAGTTGAAGATCAGCTCTTAGAAGATGAATATGATTTTCTGGAGAAAGAGGATGAGCTCACTCGCCAAACGATTAAAGCAGTAAAATCCTTGAGTTGTTATTTAAATTAACGCTTACATTTTTATTGACAGTCCAAATCACAAAAGCAACTAGTCTCAAAGCGAATTGGAGAAAACAGCTCGGATTCTGAGATTGACTTCGATACGCATCCAATAGTTAAACTTACAAGTGAATTAATAATGCTTGTGACACTTAGGCTGAACCGGCTATCCCGTAACTATCGGTTTGTACACAAAGTACTGTCTGCAGAGAAAAAGACTTTACAGGATATAAGTACCATGAATCGACTAGGACTCGTTAATACTGCTGCGATGTTTAGTTTTTTAAATCAATCTCTCTACTAGTGAGCTTACATATGATACACATTACAGTTCAGTTTTTAAATTTGATTCGATTCTTTTATTTAGCAAACAATTGGATGCCATTAGTGATAGATCAAAACTACCGTCGGTTAGTCTGGTGTCAAGAAACGAAGACTTTAGCACTCTCGATCATAGTGAGTTTGTACAAATGCTGTTTGCTTTTTGGCATGCGATTATTGCCAATACGGAAGCTGTCAGCTACTTGGCTGTATTCGTCAATCAGGCTGCAAACTCCTCTTTAATTTCATTACCATTGCCATTTCTCGTCCTTTACTGGGGTGCTCTAACATTACCTCGGCCAACAAAATCATTTTGGGTAACTCTTATTACTTACACATTGGCGATGATTTTCTTGAAATGCATATTGCATCAAAAAATTGTACTTGACCTTAAGCTTACAAAACTAGCAAAGACAACGGACTTTGAGTTTTTCGTAAAACATGGCAAGGCTGTATACGATCTTCTGCTACTGGTTGTCCTTTTCTGGCATCGATACATGCTAAAAAAGCAGGGAATTTGGAACTTACCACGATCCGAAAATGATGCGGTTTCATCAAACAAATCATGTGAGCTTACTTATCGTTTTTTATATACATTTAACAATAGTACATATTTTAAAAACAATTTCCTTAGATCGCAAAGCACACAACAAGGACCGACCAAGTGAAATCGTTCGGCGGCTAAGGTAATTATATGATTTATTTAAGGGGCAACTAAGATTTTTAACTTTGTGTATGTCGGTCTGACTGTCTGCTTGTGCGAACTCTCTGTAACGCAAATTAAGCAAATGCTATACATACATGTAATACAAACGCTTAAAAAAAAATGCGAAGATTCTAATTTTTTTTTTTTTTATTTTAAATTATTAATTATTTTTTACTATATATTGGGCTCAGATAACACAACTATTTAAAATATTTGCGTCATACGTATCCACCCTTCCTGCAATAGACAGGACTACTGCTGCGCAGACGGCCCTGTCCAGCTTACATAACTTCATTGAGCTCTCAATTGGAATAAAGCTTCCTAAATATTCCTATGTTTTCTTTTCATAAGGGTAACATATCCAGCTTAGAATTTAATTTTTAATTTTTAATCATTTATACAGGCCAGCAATGTAAGAAAAGTAGCCATTTTAATTTGAAATAATTCGATTATTCCAAAGCTTAGGTGTATATTTGTATTTTGGCTAAAACTGTTCCAACTCGACAATACAACAATCCATCGGTTATTTGTAATTAGTATTTTTATTTGCTTTCTTGATGCCTATTGATACAATACGCATATCATGTTGTTACTTGCAATTTGTTATTATCAGAGAATGTGGAAACCAAATACTCACAATTTCGAGCAATTCTGCACACTTTTTCTGCTTTCGATCCGGACGGTTGAAGGTCGACTCTGTCCTGGATTAGTGGAAGTCACCAGCCACATAATCCATAAGTTCACATATATTCTATTGTTATATTGTTATTGCACTGGGCACAAAGTATTGCAAAGTCATATATAATATCGATGACATCCTTTATTTATATTTACTCAAGGGAAGAGTCTGGTAGTGATCGTAGGGATATACATGGATTTAAACGAGACATGGACGATTTCCTACGACCTGGCGTGGAAAATAAATATGTGTATAATAACATTGAATCAGAGTACTATCGCCAAACTATGCAACATTTAGAGTAAGTATAACAATATAATTGAATAAAAATACTAAAAATATACAAAATGCAATAACCCACAGGCACAAGGGCGAACCTTTATCTGAAATAAAGAAATTTTTTCTTGCTTTATTTCACAAGGCTCGCCTATCAACTGATGTTTATACATTATTGTTCTTATGCGATTTTATAAATTTCTTTGTCTTGTTATTTGGATTTCCTAAGTTTGTGGTAAGTTTTAGAGTTGACTATTCTATGTATATAATATTATAAATATGGTTTTTGTTCTTAAAATAATTATTATTATTGGTCAGCGAAAATACCTATATCAACTCGCCACGAGTGTGCCGATTGTTAATAGCATCTCGTTGGTTCCTTACATCTTGGTCTACAGTTGATCTTCTAAATATTCCTTGCACTTTGCAAAGGGATCTGTCATGGCCACACGAAGGTATTAATTGACCCGTTCTCCTGGCCAGAGGGCGAATCTTTGTCGGCCTCCCTTATTATCAAGCCTTAACTGCAAATCTCTGTAAAGGTTTTCTCCACCACTCGTGGGATTCTAATGGAAAACAATAGAAATAAAAACAATACATAAGAGACTGGTGCTCCCATAAATCCGGAAGGGTGAAATAAAACCTTGGTAGGCTGTCAGGCTAAACTTATATTGAGACCTTTAAAGGTTATTATTTTACGATTTATCTATATTGAAAAGGCGGTTGAGCATGTCATTTGGTATCGTTTGTTGCATTTTATGCATATTTAAAGATTTATGTCTGTGAGCTTACGGAGATGCGTGATTCTGTTTGGTCCGGTATGCCCGCAAACCTTGCCTCCGCTTTGCGTCACCAGCAATGCAAAGCATTAGGGCAGCGGACAGTGGTACAGGTTTATCTGCAGAAGTCTGAGAGCAATCTGGAAATTCTACTCCAACAACTGATGAATTGCTGACGTCATCACGATAGCGGAAAGTCTTCCTCGTAAACTTGACGACACATATCCTCCCTGTTTCATAAGCAATAATAAAATTAATAAAAAATGTATCCCTTCGAAATTGCGTGGAGACGAAAAAAAAAAATTAAATAATGTTAAAATGTGAAACAAAGCACTATTAAATTTGGGCTTTCCGCCAAAGTGTTGATTGGTTGGTAGGCACTAGGCATTCAAACATCAAAGATAATTTTTGATAATCCTCACAGATCAGCATTGTTTCTGCATCTTCAGAGGATGTTTCTTACTCATTTTGTTTCATTTACATCTATGGTTTCCAGCAGTTTGCACATCACTTTTCGTTTCAATCGTAAGTCTAACAACACCTGTTTTAAAGTCTTCTACTGGAAAGTTCTAACCACGCGTGAAGGTATTATCTGACAGCAATGTTTTTTTTTTATATTGTGACAGTTGTTCCGTATCGGGGACGTGTCAGACGCGTATCCCGGCTCATGGGGTGGTTCGATCTCCATAGGTGGGATCCTACTCAACTGACTAGCTTGCAGGGTCACCTCCCCTCATTGTACCCGATTCATACCTTCAAGGTAATAGAGTGAAATTCAATTTGCTGCTTCAACCGGTCCGGCTCTTTAGGTCTGCTTAAAATTTCGCTTCGGTTCACATCAATCAGCGTGACTCTGGAATAGACCACTTCCAATTCTCCTACCGTCGCAGGCGATGACTTTATTTTAATTATCAAATCATATTTAGATGTTGAAAATTTCTTTTATGTTCAAAATGTATTTATTTATTTAGTTTTTTTCAAATTCCTCCCTCATTTTCGTAGAAAGGGTCTAAGTGTTCTATGTGTAAAAGAAAAATCGTCTATATTTAAATATTAAGCTTTACACAATGAATGATCTTACAATATTTTAAGGCAAGGACACGAGGTAACTTAAAATAAATCGGAATATATTTAATGATTGAAATTAAATTAAATTGATTATTTTAATAATAGAAAACACAACTATTATTGCAAACATTTTAATTTAATTTTAGAATCGTCATAAGCACAGCGCAAGCGTTCTACAAACCTATATTCAAGGAAATAAGGTGCCCTTCAGTTTTTTTTTCATGCTCGTAGTACAATTTGGCACTATTGTGGCAGAGCGTGTAATATACTTACGAAAAGCGTTAAGAGTCAAGATTGTGTTTCATTTCATTACTGTTCTTGGAATACACATATGGATGTTCTTTTTAGTGCCATATGTAACATCGATCAGTTTTGGAGCCACCGCACCAATTACATTTTACCTCATCAAATGCCTGCATATGTTACTGTCAGCCTACCAGATGCGTTGTGGTTACCCAAGGCGTATTTTGGGGAATGTGTTTACGAAAAGTTTTTCTATGGTTAACTATGTGGCATTTAAAGTGTAAGCAAATATCGAGCGATATTAAGTGTGGAAAATCGATAATAATTTATGAAATTGAAAAACACTTAGATATATGGAAATTCCATTTCTCTATATTCTTCGAACAATGCTCGACTGGCTGTGTATCGATACGACGCTTACAGTTATGGAATGGATTAAAATGGAAGATATTTATCAATCGGTTTTTACTGTGCGTTGCTACAGGCAAATGGATTCAGATTTCCCGGTTTTACGGGGAGAACCTAAGGAATTTTATACAAAATGTTTAATAGGTGGAACTATTATATTAATATTGGTAGCACTTATATGGAGCCCACTGTTCCTCTTTGCACTTATAGGAACAGTGGGAAAATCAAACGTTCCTCGCAGAGCTGATATATCTATTAAAATAGGGAATTATGAACCACTGTATATTTCCCAAAGTTACTCGGGTATACACCAGTTCTCGGAGGACGAATATAAACATCTAGTTAAAAGCTTCAGCTACGATACAATTGCTAGCGATCATATTACTATTTATGATCCCGAGGATGTTACAGCTGTGAAATTTGACTCAAACTCTGTGACATTGTGGAATATGTCACCACCAAATCTTATGAGCTTGTTAAATGATTTGAAGACGGGTACGTAAGAAAAATTAGGTAAATTCCATCATAGCCTCAAGACTTTATAGGTAAGCCAATGGAAATCCGTATGAGGATGTCTTTAAATTCCGGTGCCATGATGAATACAATAATGTACGAAACTACTTATAAGCTAACTCAGAATATTGAATTAACTCGTGAAATGCTCATTAGAACGTTGTCTGATGAGAATAGTAATGTAAATGTCGTTGTGCCAGACATATTACCCAAGTTTATTACGATTCAAAAAATGGAGGTGTTCGTCAAATTTATCAGAGATTTCGATGGTTCGTATGTTAATTATTTAATTTTGAAAAAATTAGTCGTTTATGATGCCGCAGCATTATATCTGCCTAGTTAACTAGTAGAATATTCTTGATTGAAAATTATCTTTGTCTGGAAAATTATTTTTGTTATGACAGGTAATTATCGTCGGCCAATAATATTAAAAAAAAAACAAGATGAAGGAAAGGTTTGGTGGGAAATGCATGACTATTGTGATGACAAATATTATAAGAATATTATTAGCAATCTACCGTTGAGTGACTGCGATGATGGCATTGTTTTTTATATTTTTAATGATAAATCATTTCCAACAACGATGAGTTTCCTAGAAAAAACTGGGTAAGCTAATAAATATATTATTTATAAAATAGCTATTAACAGCCAAATCTGTCCATCTCAGAGACTACAAGGCGAAGTCTCTAGCCATTTTGGAAGTTCTCAGATGAATTCATTTATATATTTAATATGACTGATTACTTCCTTCGATTCACCTTTGTATATCGATTACCTTCATTTTTCTTATTTGGTAGGAATATACTTTGGCAACTTTACAAGTTTTTATGGAAATCGTATAATCATATATGCTGTAAATAAAGCGTATAATTATCTTCATCAAAAGAAATTGCAACATCGAGCAACATATTTCCCTTCACGCAAAACTAAAAAAAAATCGGGAAACTCTATATATTCCTCGGGGTTTCAGCTAGCGGCACACAATTTCGAAAGTAGATCACTAGAAGAACCCGCCAAAAAATATCTAAAAACGACAAACCGCTAAAAAAAAAAAAATGTCCACAAATTATAATGGGGAACCAGGGGCAACCTTTTTCCAACCGTAAATTATGTCCTCTTTGAGATGGTTGCGGCCTTCTTCACATCACTCATATCCAATGCATACAATTTAGCCATCTATCCAGATTTTCAGTTTAGCACGACTGCCTTCTACGCCATAATCTGTTAAATGTCTTCTTTTTTTAACCGTAAAGTTCATCCTCTATTATATAAATACATATATTTAATTGTATAATCTGATCTGAATAAGAATATTAAAATCTGCCTGCAGAAAACAGTTACTCATGTTTAAACCATATCTTATATAGGATAATTGGTCTATACACGACATGTGTTTATGTAGTGTCCCGTCTTATACGGTCTATAATAGCCAACAACCATCGGCGAATAATGTTCGAGGATTTGCCGTATGTGGACCGAATATTAAAGCTATGCAACGATATCTACTTGGTTCGGGAGAACAAAGAATACCGTTTGGAAGAAGATTTGTATGGTAAGCTATTATTTCTTTACAGATCACCGGAAACGCTCATTAAATGGACGCGATACAAAGAAGAATTTATAGACGAACCAGTGTCGACAACAAATGCTGAAAAAACACAGCCTGATAAAAATGAACAAGATGCTCGACCACCACCTTAATCAACGATATAAACATATTTTAAATGTTTCCGGTTTTATGCCCTCGCTACGTTTTTTGAATGATTTATACATTTTTAAACTGGATACATGCATACCACATTATATTTTACAACGTTCTCGCTTAAGCAAATCAATTTTAAAATGTAGTCAAATGTTAAAGCTATTATGAAAGTAATAAAGGTTTAAATTTATAATAATAAAATAATGTGCATAATACTTAAACCATATTTTTTATTCTACCTGCATTCAGCAAATCGTTTTCGCTGTGTGGAAAAAAACGCAGCGTCAAAAGTAGGTTTTGCAAAATTTCCTTGACTACTCGTAGAGCAGGGATGAATCAGATGCGACCCCACCTCGGCTAAGCCAATAACCTGTTCCGTATTCGTGTTCCTTATACAGGAGGAACGGGAAAATCCTATATCTTGTTCTGACATGCCCATTAATAGAACAAACCATCGGAAACCCCTGCCCCAACAATTCCTATTGTACGGTATATACATCATCCTGGTCTGTGTCACAAATGGATCCCATTTCCATTGGTGAATGCTGGGTCATCAATAGGATGAGAGAGCCGCTGCATGGGTTTCTTCTATTAACAAACTTAATTGTGTGTAATCGGCATTATAACCCCAACTTCGACAATTGGAATCCTCGAAGTCATCGGCATTACCTCATTGGAAGAAGATGACAAACACACACTCCAATCAACAAATGCTAACTGGACCAATACATATTAGAACACGGGTATGTGGACCTAGAATTGATTATGAGAAATTGTCCGGAAAACTTTCAACTATTTCCCATCCCTTTGAGAGAGTTGCTCCTCTCTCAGAGAAGTTTAATGGGAGGATGTTTGGTATATATGGTGCTCCAACTTGGACCCAGCCAAGTATATAGATACATGATATGCACAGGTGTTGTTAACTCATTACGCTGTTAACCGCATAACTTAAATCTGAGTGCATTTTAAATCTAGTACTTTGAGGAATGATAAAATGTAAGGTCGCCAACTAGATACCTTAATTCCACCCCAGAAAGATTATACGTCTTCCTACATATAAGCCACGCCTATAGCTGATCGTAACACTATATTTGTTTTATGGACTTTTTGGTCAACTTTTTTTAACATTCCTTGATTTAGGGTTTGGCCAAGGCCTAGCTGAGCCTAGTCGACAGAACAGTTCAATGTCTCACAAGAGAGATCCGGTTCCATCCAGTTGGTCTTCAATTTCATTCCCGGGCATACCGCCTTGTCCAGGGACCTAGCAAATCATTACTCTGTTTTCTATTAAATAAAATATGAATGATATCTCAAACTTTAAGGGTTTCCAATTTACCTTCACAAAAATAAATAAAGAATGTATATAATTGAACAATACTTAGTTGACTTTTATTTTATTTCATTATTTCATAAGCAATAATAAAATTAATAAAAAATGTATCCCTTCGAAATTGCGTGGAGACGAAAAAAAAAATTTTAAATAATGTTAAAATGTGAAACAAAGCACTATTAAATTTGGGCTTTCCGCCAAAGTGTTGATTGGTTGGTAGGCATTCAAACATCAAAGATAATTTTTGATAATCCTCACAGATCAGCATTGTTTCTGCATCTTCAGGGGATGTTTCTTACTCATTTTGTTTCATTTACATCTATGGTTTCCAGCAGTTTGCACATCACTTTTCGTTCCAATCGTAAGTCTAACAACACCTGTTTTAAAATCTTCTACTGGAAAATTCTAACCATGCTTGAAGGTATTATCTGACAGCACTGGTTATAAAACAGCCTACCCACTTATAATTCCTGTTTTTTTTTTTTTTTTTTTTTATATTGTGACAATTGTATCTGATGAAGCGTTTCACACCATCGAAAAAATCCCATACGTTCCGCAATCCCTCCAAGGACTGTAATACTCTTGTAGCGGACTGATTTACAATTTTGAACTTTTGGGTTTGCTGCCCCACTTTGTTCATTTATAAAAAATAAAGAAATTAAAAAAAAAAGTTAATAATAATAAACAGACTAATTTAAACAAAGCGTAGCGGATCTTAATAACAAAGAATTTGTTTTCATTGATAAGAATGCAAATAACATACTTTGGCGTGTTTGTCAGACACTATTAACAAATTAATTTAATTGCTTTTCGAATTTTTAAATCATCAAAGCTCGCAGAAAATTTGTGGAACAAAATATAATAAAAAACGATATGTCACAAGGTAGTATCATATCGGATCGGAACGATATTTTTACAAGCAAAAATTGTATATCGATATATTTCGTACATCACTAAGTCATTTAACAAAATTTAATTCTATTTTGCGTCTAAAGAAAAACAACTCATTTAAAATGAGTTTACCACCAATGTTATTGCAACGACTTAAGTCACGGGGGCTGGTTACTAAACAAAATGGTAAATATATTAATTCATACATTTGTATGATACCTACATAAATACTTACAGATTTCCACTTGCACATGCATTTGTAAACATAAACTAGAAAACTGAACGAGTGCCTATTTTTGTCACTTTAAGTATTATATTTAATAATATTTCTTGCTGCAGTTCTCTGTTCATCATAGTGGGGCTAAGACTGTTCATTAATTGGTGTTGTCTGCCATGCAATCTGTCAGGTCTGTTCGAAAGATATGTCTATTATTTGTACACGTCCAAGGCTTGCCTTTGAATTAGGGTGTTATTGGGAAACGTGATAGTTTATGAGTTAATTGTATTAAGTGAAGATGATAGATTTGGGGTCAGTCATGTTAGTGTTCTTATCTGCAATGCGCATTAGAGTGTGTTTAAACAAATAGGTCGGAAAATGTATATTGACATTTACAATTTACTTCTTGTGTTTCAGCTCAAACACCTGTTTCCGAAACAGTAGAAGAAATTATTGCGGAAAATTATGATGAGGACGACAAAAATCAGCAACACTCAAGCGTTGAGACTAGCACATATACTAGTAAAAATACTGCGATTAATGAGCATTACTGGGCTGATAGGATTAAAGAACGAATGGAAGTTACAGAGTCACACCATGGATTTAAGTTTTGCCCAAATACATATAATATATGGCACAACTGCACATTATACTGTGTAAACAAATGGGCAAATGGGAGGCCAAAGCCAAAAGACAACTACCTTAGACGTTATAGAAGATTAATTCGTAAATACCCACTTGGCGCCAATTGGAAGGATGTTTATGATAATGGTTGTGGCGTCTACTATTTTTACAATTCAGCAACTCGAAAGGTATCGTGGTTACCTCCAACACATCCAAATGCACGAATTTCAAATAGTGCAGCCACTTTTCGAAAACAATTGGCCAATTCAAATGACGAATACAATTTCGATACAAAAGATTTTGCGTCAACTAATTATAATGAAAGAGAGACTGGCGTGCATCCATCAACTTTCATTCCATCTAAGAAGCAGAAGAAGCGAGATTTGGAACGCACATTTTTACGAAAGCAACGCCTTTAAAATTATAAATATAACAAAGAAATGTTCTCAGATTGTTCAACAAAATATACAAATATTTTTGAAGCAAAAAAAATGTATATTTTTGTTCATCTCGTCTATAGTTATAATAATCTACAGGTCATTTAACACGGTATGAAATGAATGAAATCTTCCGCATGTCTTAGATCACTCTTCTTGTGTTTTGGTTTTAGTAGACACATTCATTATACTTGAGTTTAAGTTTAATTTATATGAATTTACATTCTTTTTAATGGCCCATTTTCCAAACGGATCCAGTGCACAGCCGAAACAGAGGATGAGGATGAGCCGAAACAAGAAATAATTTTCGACTTTTGCCAGCAATTATTTTGCAACATATTAGTTATAAGATCCGACCAACTACAAAGTATAATATTTCAAGTTTAGTTAAGATAGATTTAAGACTGATAGACTTATTGGAGGAGAAACAGATAGACGTACGGACATGGCTATATCGTGTTCGGTTATGGGATCGGAGATCGCTTTAAATGCATTAAGAGATTCGACCAAATTATATCCTTTGCGAGAATAAAATAAGGCTTATGTAAAAACAATTTGTTCTAAACTTTATGATTATTATAGATTTAAATTTTCTATATATTAAACATTTTAATATATATTTTATTTTAAACTTATATTTTTTGTAATATTCAAAGGATTTTTAAAATGATGTATTTCAATCTCTGTTAACTACAAATATTATTTATTAACAATATAATTAATTACGTAATAATAGATTCCTCACATATTTTTAATATTTAAAACAAGAGAATACTGTTTTGATTGTAGGAGTGCTCGTTACTATGCGGTTGTAACTATTTTTCGTAGTGAATAAATAAAAAATAATTAGTGACCAAAAAATTATTTCAGAAATAAATGTCAAAAATTGCTAAAAAAAAAAAAAAAAAAAAAAAACTAAATTAAAAATAGGCAGAACGAGTATAACTTCCAAGTCTAAGTCTGTAGATTCAGGGAAGACTGAGAAAAGTACAGATTATATTTCATGAGTTAGGAGCAATAATGAACTATCTTAAAGTCTAATCTAATCGACAAGGACTACGTAATTGGAGGCCGCCAGCGATGGGTGCATTTTGGGCACCTCAGATTGTGTGAAGCGAACTTTGGTCGCGTCGTCTTCATTGTTGTCCAGAGCCCCCTCGATAATCATTTCTAGTGCGCATTTCAGCTGCACCAACTCCATTGTTAGTCTAATCTCGGCCTGCATTGTCCGCCTCAGTCGCTCGAGAGCCTCAAACATATCTTTGCTAAACGCAAACACATTGTTCTCGAACACATCCATCACGGTTCTGGCGGCATTGAGGAGCGGTCGCATGAAAAGCACCTCGCCAATGTGGGCGCACAGGAAGTCAATGAATTGGATTAGTGTTGCCTCATTTCGATTTGTTAATGCCGCCTGCAAAGCGCTACGATGCAGTAGCTCGGTGATTACAGCCACGATTTGCTCGGGATAATCTTCAGTGTTCTTCGGCACTAATACGCTGTCCAGCGCCTTCTTGTAGTTGTATTTACGCAGATGATTCTCGAACGCCGTTAGCTGTGGCATTCGCCGTTGATCCGTGACAACATGGTCCACGTTTGCTGTTGTGTTGGGACGCGCCATCCGATTGCGTTGCGTCTGGCGATGGGTGGCCTTGATCAGTTCGAGGTGACTCGGTTTACTGTCGACAATCATGCGCTTGATGGACACCAGGCCATCAACCATGCCGGCAACGAGAGCCTGATTCCTGGCAGCAATGCCCAGGCTGACTACCGGCTTGGGATAGGTTAAGGTGTACACCGTTTTATACGTGCCCACATCATAGATCTTGACATGTCGATCTAGGCCGCCCGACAATAGACGCCGGCCATCGGAGCCCACCCGCAGACATGTGACGGTCTAGTGATGTTGTGACATTGTCATCAGCTGGCGGCATCCACTTATCAAATCCCAGACGCGCACCTGTGTGCCGCCAGCAGTTATGAATATGGAGCCCTTGGGCAGGAATAGCATGGACTCAACGGGGCTGCCGTGATCCAGGGTTCTGGTTATTGACTGTTGCACCCGTGCGTCGTACAGATTGATTTTCCCATCGTAGCCTCCGGAGATGAACATATGCCCGGCCTGCGGATGCGAAGCGCCCGCACGTATATAATCGCTGTGCGCATCCTCATACGTCCGCACCAGCTTCTCGTTGCCCACATCCCACAGTCGCACCGATTTGTCATCCGCAAAGCTGGCCAGCTGCGATTTGTCTGCCGTGAAAAATGTGCGATGCACGGGCGCCGTGTGCCCCTTGAACAGCCGCAGTATATTCCGGCTGCTTATGTCGAATAGCTTCACATAACCCTCCTCATCGCCGGCTGCCAACAAGCGACCGTCCTGCCGGAACGTTGCGCCATATGCAGTCTTTTGGAACTTGGATAGGTTCTTAACGACCAGCTTTGTCACCAGATGGTAGATCTGCACCCGAGCTGAACACGTCAGCACAAAGTTATCCTGCTCACTCGGACTGAAGTCGATGTAGTCGACGTTCGAGTGTTCCTTAAGCAGCTCCGATTTGTCCAATCGATTCCAGTAGGTTGTGTCCGGTGTGACCAACTGGACTTTCTGTTGAAACCTTTGTATATGAAGTGGCTGGAAATTGCTCGTCATCTTGATTTTGGAGTCCGAGCACGCACATGGGAATCAAAATAACCAATTATCAAATAATTTGATATTCAAAATTCGTGATTGAAATGTGCTAACGAACAGAGTTTGACGACGCACTGCCTGACTTTGAGGCCGCAGACTTCAAATAAATGTGGGTTCTCGGATACCATAAGCATACAAAGCGATAACCCCCATCTCCCGAATATCGATAAAATTTGAATACCGATTGCAATAAGAGTACATAGCGTCAGATCGGTAGAAATATTAATCAACAGCCAAAATAGCATCAAGGTCGATTGTGAAGCACATAGGTCAATCAGAATATATACTATGTTGACGATAAGGAGAACGTAAACACAAATTAAAGTTTCGCACGAATCCGCTATTGCTTCTGGATGTAATCGAAGTCATCTTATTTGTATCCTATTGCAAAGCCGAGTCTTATCTTATGTCCCGTCTTGTGACCACACTTCAAAATGCTTTAAAAAAAACATACTTAATAAATTCATGGAAAGAAAAATGTGATTTAAATGCGTATTTAATTTATTGAATTTTTAAATAAGATTTAATTATTGAATAGTTCGACGCATATTTAATATAACTAACAAATGTAAAAGTTCAAAAATTGGAAAAATTTGTTGAAAATTTTTTTAAATTTCTCGAAGTGTATGAATAATGCGTATACGTAATGGACTTCATTCAGAAAAGTCGACTATTTACAGCCAATGCACAATGGCTTTATTACTTGAAAAAAAAATTTTGATAAAGAATAAAATTTTGCTTAAGCGAGTTTGTCTCTCTTCTAGCAACCATATAGAGGGTCGGTATAATTGTTTGCACGATAGGGCTTGCAAAGGTTCAAAAGTAAGTATGTACGCACAACATAATTTGTTTTTCTTAGCATGGTAAATTAAAATTTTTAATTCTATGAGTAGCGCTAATTCCCAAATTTTTTCAAGTATTAACGTCAAACACAGTACAAAAATACTGCTATTTAGTTTTGTAACGATGCATTAAATTCAATAATTTGATCTGGTTTTGGCACATTGCAAAAAGATTTCGTTAGGTACAAATAAGAAATACAACACAAATAATCTTTACATTTTTGCATATTTTATGATTTTAAAAAGTTAACTTTATTAAGTTGTATATTATTTATTACTTCGTGTAGAGGTCTTCTTATTTTATATATATTACACATACTTGATTTATATAAGCCCTTAGTAGACATTTTAGGGAAAACTGCTTTTAATCAATTTGCTAAACCTCTGGTTTGATGTATGGTTTCTGACAGTTTGTACTCTACGTTCCCATTTTTGGGTAACAGTTTACAGGTGGCATTATTTACATTTTAAAATATATATTAAAAATTTAACTCCATAAGAAATAAATAATAACAATATATTGGATTCAAAAGGAAAAGGAATATATCATTCAGAAAACATGTTTACTACGTTATTACGATGAATATTTTATGTTGCTTAGTAATTCTAATGGTGACTGTTATTAATGGTGTCACATGCTTCGAAGAAATAAGTAATAACACTCTTTACAGTGTTAATACCCAGAGAAAAAGTAAATTTCTATTCGATACCATATTTCGGATCAGTTCCGGGGTATCAAATGCCTTTGGGTTTGACACTGAGGAAGATGGGGACAATAATGAAAACATTAATGTTCCAACCTGTGAATGTGGTGAGTAATTTAATGGTCTCTCTGGTATAGTTTTATAAATATTCAACAAATTAAAAAGCTAGCTTTGGCATATGTGCGCATTGTTTTGATAGAATATTAGAACCAAAATTTTAAGGTTTAAGCAATCGAAAATAAATTGATGCCCATATAATATATATCATCTCGATCAGACATCTATGTTAAATAAATTATGTTTACAAATTTCTTTACACATACGCGTGTAAATTTAAATCAATCAACCCGAACAAGATAAATAATTTCAAGAAGTGGGCTAAATGCGATTTCTTAAGAAAATGGGGGTAAGGGCAAAAAGAGATAAACGGAACTTAGTAAACAACTGCTTTATGAATGACCAGCACTTCTAATCGAGAGAGAGAGAGAGAGCAAATTTCATTACAATATTATGGATTTCGGAAAGAATTTTTTTAGAATCAGGGCTGACATTTCAACTTTTTAGAAATGCAACTCTTAATAATAGAAAATATTTCTAAAACAGAAAATAGATAAAAGGAGATTTTCTAAATGTGATGCAGCTTTTCTTTTGAGGATTAACTTGCATTAAGGATTGGAGCGATATTTAATCAACAATCCAGGATCAACCCTTAATCCTAGCGTCTTGTGCCCTTTTGGGCTGCTGGTGCTGTTTTCTGTGATTCATTTTGATGGGCCTCAAATTTTAGTATACCGCAGCATTTCTCATCCTGAGAACTATCGCTTTCTGATCTGAACTCAGACTACCTGTTGTGACTTTGCTTGGTGGCTGTGCCGATAAGTTCCTGAGTGAATTAGCTATTTGTCATGAGAGAGTCGGTTACTAACCAGACGGTTATCAATTTTACTTGCGCTCGTAATTTGAACCGGTTTTTACCTAGGTAGTAAAATAAGACATTAACTTAAAAGACTGTTGCTTAAAATATAGTCGAGACTTATAACCACTTTCCCTCACGACCCGTCAAACAGTCAGTTCCGTGTAGCTAGCATTGGGTCATTGACATGACCCCTCTCTGACGTTACCAAAATAAATCTCATTGGTATCGCGTTTGCTCCGTCGACGGTGCGTGTATCTGCGTCTAGTGTCCAGAATTATTGTCCGAGGAATCTATCAGGAATCTATCATCACCCTGAAAGATCCAGTTTTACCACGGGCGTACTACTATAATGTTTACAATCAAGCAATCTCACTCTTCATGAGGTTACTATCAACTGTCGTTTTAGAATTCTGAACCATAGCTTTGGCAAGATCTATTCACGTGTGTCACTGTTAAGGAACCTATAAGGCCACGGTGAGATGACATGGTTATAAGCTTGTCTTGTCTCTTGTCTTAAGAGATATGGTTGTATCAAAGCGCTACTGCCGTTTATTATCTACACTGAAAATACTATAGATCAACTCTGCACGGGGTAGATAGGCATATTATAGAAATGTAGGAAAGAAGAAGAAGAATGTCTCCTAGTTAGATAGATAGGCATATTATAGAAATGTAGGAAAGAAGAAGAAGAATGTCTCATAGTTAAATAAAATGATTCACATAATTAAGATTGTTCGTCCAATCCACGCAACAAATATTTAAATATTAAATTTTATTATGAATTTAATTTTTCATTTTTCTGTGTCTACTGATTTTAGTTGACACTAAATAAAAAAAGATAAATAATAAAAAAGTGCTAATCAGATGACATTATGATTGTATGTCGATTTATTTATTATTCTTAGATTGTGGATTTTCGAATGAAGAAAATAGAATTGTGGGAGGAAAGCCTACAGGAGTAAATCAATATCCTTGGATGGCTCGAATTATTTATGATGGAAAATTTCACTGCGGAGGATCATTGTTAACAAAAGACTACGTTCTATCTGCAGCTCATTGCATTAAAAAATTGAGAAGATCCAAAATCCGAATAATATTTGGAGATCATGATCAAGAAATAACATCGGAGTCGAAGGCAATTCAAAGAGCTGTAACCGCTGTCATAAAACATAAAAATTTTGACCCGGATACCTACAACAACGATATTGCATTGTTAAGACTAAGGAAACCTATTGTGTTTTCGAAAATAATTAAACCAGTGTGTCTTCCCCGATATAACTATGACCCAGCAGGTATGTATTCCTCATTATATAATCTTATATTGAATTCAATTACATATATTATTAAAATAAAATACATAAAAACAGTCAAAGTCTTAAATTTGTGCTATGTATCCTTATCCCCAGCTTTGCACTCAGATGCTATAATTTTAAATGAATATAATTTGGTCGTTCAAAAATATATAAATAAGTTGCTAAACCACATACCAATAATAAATAATTTCTAATTCTCTTAATGTGTATTAAAAATCATCATCAATCAGATTGTTTGTAATTTATTTGCATTGAGGTGATTAATCTTTGAATATTTGTATGTAAATATATCTACGATGACATTTTCGTCTGCGTAAGTCTAAAATGCATTATCTTCGGCCATTTTAAGTCGTCAACTTTTGCAACGTTTTCATAAATATTGATGTCAATCTAATGGGTCTAAGGGACTTAGGAGGGGTGATATTTTTTCATTTATTGGGGGTACAGACCAAGCAGCTGTTTATATATTTATACTCTATTGAATTCATAATAGAATATTGGTTTTGGGAGATGTCCGTCAGTATGAACGCGACTTTATTTGGACACCCTTAGACATAGAGGCTTGAAATTTGGAAACTGGTCTGTGCCCGTAGGTTATGAAATCAGTAAAATCGATAACCGCAACTCCTCTAAGAGATAGATAAAAAATTTGATGACACACTCATGATTGAGTCACCATTATGTGGTATTGGTAATACTTATGGTATAACAGTATTTTGCAGTCGGTAACGCCCGACGCACCATCAGAATAGATATTAGAAAGTCCGTTACGTCCGACTGCAATTTTATTTTTTAATTTAAAATATTTTTTTGTTCTGATAACAAAGGTAGAAGAATATTTTGGTATTGATATGTGTGCGTCACGCGAATTGTTGAGATTTTAAATTTTGAATGTAGGCTGAGAAATCGGTAACAGGTCGATAACACGACCAAATGTCTAAGTCCAATATGCTTCCCACATTTTGAGGCCAAATTCACAATATTTCCAAGTTTGGAAGGTTGATTTCTAATAACCGTCAGTAAAGATTGATAAAAAATAATAGCATGGCCGAAAATAACTTTTCTTTTAAGGATAGTGTTTCGAAAATATTTCCTATCTTATGTTCTGATAATAATAAAATTTGCACGGTGTTACGCCCACTCCTACAAAAACTGTAAAAACGTTTATCCTTCACAATTTTAAAGCGAAAGCTAAGATTTTTTTTTACCTTAAAACTGAGAATGTATAAAAGTCGAGTCAAAGCTCGATACCGCCATAAAATAATATAATATTTAATAATCGTTATTTTTTCCTTCTAGGTCGTATAGGAACTGTCGTTGGTTGGGGTCGTACTGCAGAAGGAGGAGAACTGCCCACAATTGTTAATCAAGTAAAAGTACCTATTATGTCTCTTGCGGAATGCCGAAGCCAAAAGTATAAAAGCACACGAATAACGCCAACTATGTTGTGCGCGGGACGACCGCGTATGGACTCCTGTCAAGGTGATAGTGGTGGACCACTATTATTGTCGAATGGAGTCAAATATTTTATAGTAGGTGTAGTGTCCTGGGGTGTTGGTTGCGGACGCGAAGGATATCCTGGGGTTTATACCCGTATCAGCAAGTTTATTCCTTGGATTAAATCTAATTTAGCAAGTACTTGCTTGTGTTCATAGTCAATTTCTAAAATATTGAATAAAATAAAGAAAATCGTTAAAGCTTAGTTACTTGTTTTAGTTCAGATAAACATTTTAATAAGAGATATTTACTTCTCTTGAGATCGTTGAGTAAACTCCATACATCACATCATGTTCATCTGTTCGCGAACAAAGGATTTTAGAATTTAGCCATTAAGCAAGACATATTCGACCTTGTGAATTAAATATATTTTGGATGAGCATCAAAAGCCCTGTCATTTGATGGATTGTCTGTTTAAAAACTTCTTCAAGGGATAACAATCTATTGATTAATTATTTTTACGCACCAAAATACTTTATTATATATATTCAAAGCCCTCAGTCATCTTATTGGGTTGTGCCAAATACCAAACTCATTTTATAATTTTGAATAGGTTACTATTTATTAACTCCATAAACTTAAATTTGATATTTTGACAAACATTTCTGGACTCATCACAGGGAATAACTACACAAAATTCTTGGAAACTATCTTAATGATTTGATACAAGAACGATAACTAACAAACCCATAAATTAACTTTTCATAATTTTGAATAACTTTCGATCTTTTGGATTTGAATGAAATTATCATGCTTTTAAACATTTCCTATGAAGGTCAGACTACAGTAGCACCTACAATAAATATTTTCATTAAAATAATTGTGGAAGTGTGAAATGTACTAACTAAAAATAACGGTGCTGCTCAAGGCCGAAATACCGTCATTGAAGGAGAAACTGACGTAAGATGAAGCAATTGTTTCAAATTGGATACAAGTGTGAAATACTCGATTTTTTACTTATATGTTATTGTGCAAACTAATTTATTGTTAAAGATGGAATAACATTTATTATTGATATTGATTATTTTTGGTAGGGCCAAAAGAAAAACTGTTCGCTGGATCTGCCAGCGCAGATGGATCTTCAGTTGGTGGCGAGGGATTTTTGAATTGTTCCGCAGATATTCTTGTAAATAATATTCCAACCCCTTCAATTAGAGCCAATAAAACTCCTCCTATAATTGCACTGCCAGCCATCGCAGGTACACCTGAAAATATAATACAAGTTTTTAAACAATAATTAGCAAATCACTTTAAACATAAATATAAAGTACACATGAACTCCTGAAAATGGTTAGCCCGTTGGTTCATTGTTTTTTTTTTTAGTCATCTGTTAGTCTGTATATAAATTGAATGAATGCAGGCAATCTTTACTTGGATCATAAAAAGCTAATTATATATACAAGTTAGAATGTCCTAGTCGAGAGAGCTTGAACCCTGCTGTTAAATATTAAGTCTTAAAGACAGCTTCCCAATTTACTCTTAAATTACTTTACATACACAAATTAAATTAGGGAATTAAGCAAGTTCATTTATTTTCCTGAAAAAAAATGTAAGGCACCGCATGTTATTATTTCCAACATAGAAGGCTTGCTGATATTTGTATATTCATCATGAAAATATGTTTTGCTTAACAACATCTATGTTTCTTATCTGATATTAATGCAGTTAATCAATAATATGTCAAAGTATATTAAATACCAATTGGAGAACAAAATTTGTCTCAGAATCGATTTATATCGATATTCGCGAAGCAGGGGGATTCATCGATAATATGAAACATATTCCAAACCCTAGAGCTCTGGGATTGTATGTGTTCATACAAGCCGAAAGACGAACATGACTGAATTGACTCGGCTTTTGATGGTGATCTAATATATAATATTGGACAACTCCCTTATATATTTTTCCCCTTTTTTTGTGAAGTTTACTAGCTTTGTCATATTTTTTCTTTTAGTATGAAACTTAAGATAATATTTGAGTAAAATCGTCTGCCAATATCAAAACCTTGAGGTTTCCGCATTTCTCAGTTTTGGTGTGGTGTTTCTTATAGTTTGTTCAGCCTTCGCGGAATTATTTTTCTTCCTTATTTCTTATTCGAAATCAATTAAAAAAGACTAATAATATTAAAAGAAACTTACCGTTTCTAGCTGCTAAGATACCTCCAGTTGCAGCGCCGCTAATTATAGAATTCCACGGGTCTTCCTTTTTACGAAAATGTACCAATGTGCAGTCAATTGTACTAAACATTCCTCCCCAAACTGCGAAGTTACCAGCTATAACGGGTGAACGGGTTTTTATTGCTGCCATACTTCCGATCTATAAATAGTAAGTTTTATTTGTATAGTTCAATTTTTTTTGTAATTTAATTCAAAATTTAGAAAATAAAAAAATATGGATTGCAGATTAGAGTTGAAGAAACTGAAAAATGCAATTTATGTTTATATATATGTAGGAAATAGTAATATTTTGTTAATTTTTATTGAAAATTGTTGTTGATATATTTATTTATATTTAACTTAAAAGTATACAATAATGCAATCAGCAGGAGGTCATTCTGAGAAACGTACGGAAAACTAAGTGTCTCTTTTAAAATAAATAAATTATTGAGAAATTGATTAAACTGGTTTCAAAAGAACTGATCTATTTCGATATTGTCTGCGAAGAGATAACCATTAAAATATTTGTAATTTTACCAAAAGGCAGATCTCTAATAGATTAATGGAATTTGGGAGATGTAGTAAAAAGTTTTTGATCTGCATTTGCTATATCACAAATTACAAATCTTTGCCTTTAGATCTGGCAACCTTCTGGTAGATATTCATAGGTATTGTAAATGAAGCGAATCAAAAAAAATCTAAGCTTGTAATGTTTGAGAATTGAGACTTGTCCTTGTATGTACAACTTATACAACTTCATCTATTTTCAGCCATTTTCAGGGTATCCAAATGAGTGATAAAATACACATATATTTTATGGATAGCTTCCTATCCTTCCTTTTTCTAGAAGTAAGATGGAAGTACTTTCGGAAGTTGTAATTTTCGATGGTAAAATGCTGTATAAGCCTACAAGTTGTAGTCAAAGATTAAAATTCACAAGCAAATCACTTTAAATAGTTCGATATATTAAATCAATGATTAATTAGCCAAGTGTATATGTTATGACGCAATTTTCTGGGCTTGGAATTAAATGAATACTTTAACTGAGACTTCGAATCGGTGAATAGAGTTTGCCAGCTGTTGCCAGCTGTAATATATCATATTTGTGTAATTGCATTTGTTTCATAATTGTATAGACTTTGTATTTAATTGATTTGCTTGCATACCATTCGTCTGCTAAATCCAGAGGGAGCGTTTCTAAATCCTTTAATTGCTTGGAAAACACCGCCTCCAATGCAACCCATGGCGAAGGCACCTCCGCAATCATCCACGATACGGTATGGACATGGCTCACGAGCATATTCCTCCATGATTATGATTGATATCTGCAAGCACACAACGCAATTCGCAAGTTAATACATAAATACTACCATTATGCACATGTTATTTAACACACCGTAAATCACCGTATGTGTATGTAACGTGGTGTGTTCTTGAATAATTATCGATATATCGATAGAACATCGTATGCGCTGTGAGCAGTCGTACTATCGAAAAATGGAAACAGCTGAGGAAGTTATCATCGCTTTCAAATACAGTCGAACCTCGATTGCATTGACCCTATTAACCGGGTACCTCTGTTCAGTAATTGATATCTACCTATATGAGCACCCATACATCAGTACATATATAAGAGAGTGCTTATGACTGTTTCTTAATTTTTTAATTATCTTAAAGAGTGCATTCTAGAAATATATCGATATTCTTAGATTTGTGACATATATATTCAAATCGGTATGAAAATAATTTTCAATATCCCTATTGCGCGACTCCTGCATAGAATATAAATATTATACCGGTAGGTGGTGGTCGAATTGACTATTGAATATTTTAATTTTTATCATTCTCATTGTGGCATTGTTGTCGAAATTATTAATATATGACTCACGCAAAACTAAATAAAATTAATAAATTTTAAAGATGTTAGGAAAATTGGAAAGTCTAAAAAGCTCTAATCATATTTTATTAAGGAAAACAAAACAAACAATTAAATATATATGCAGCCATAACAAAATCAATTTTAAAAACGCATGTATCGATTTCTTTTCTTATAAAATAATCGATTCTTAATCGAATCACTCCCATCTCTATCGCACTCCAATAACTATTTAGCCGGATAAATTCACGTGTCTGCCTCGCTGAGAACGAAATAAACATAAACATGTTAAGAAAACAGGCCAGACAGCGGAGGGAATATTTATATACCAAGTCACTAAATGAACGCATTGTGGCAAAAAAGAAAAACATGCTGCAGATAGCTGAAAACATTAAAGATAAAACATCGCTAAGGTCTTTAAACAAGCTGCAAGCCGACCGCGTGCATAATTCTCTTAAATTCAATGGAGGTACTCTTTCAGTATTATATATATTAAACATAACAAACAATATTAAACACATGCGATGCAAAAGAGATTGGTTGTCACCTGTGCTACCATCAATTATTTATTTGGTCAAAAACCAAAAGACATTATGCGAAAACTTTGACGAGTAATAAAAGTTTCTAAAAATAACAACGAAGCAAAAATAAGTGATATAGTTACATGTTGTTACTGTCCAAAGAAACTTGCTTAAAGTTTGCTTTTATTTAACAATGCATTTTATACTAGACAGAGATAAATTTATTTATTTAATGTCGACTAATATCAGTCGGCACAGAAAAATACAAGAAATATAGATAGATTTAACAATTATGCTTATTAAATTTTAATTTTTTAAATCTATAAAATTTGTGACGTTTAACCATGTGCAAAATATATTTATTTTCTGTATATTTGTAGACATCGATAGTGCAAACTTGACCGAGATTGACGAGTACCAATATGCTGGCTGCCAGGATCCAAAAATCATGTTAACAACTTCGCATGAGCCGTCGTCACGGCTTAAGATGTTTGTCAAAGAACTGAGACTGATATTTCCCAATGCCCAACAAATGAATAGAGGCAAATATCAGATAAACGCACTAATGCAGGCCTGTCGCGCGAATAATTTCACCGACTTCATAATAGTACACGAACATCGTGGCATACCCGACAGTCTTGTGGTATGTCATTTGCCGTTTGGACCCACAGCTTTTTTCAATATATCAGACGTTACCATGCGTCATGATATTCCCGATATTGGGCCCATGAGTGAGCAGAAACCGCACTTAATTTTCAGTAACTTTAAGAGCAACATTGCCTTAAGAACTGTGAAAATCTTGAAACATCTGTTTCCTGTACCAAAAGAAAGCTCGGAGAGAATAATGTCTTTTATTAACAATGAGGACAAAATTGTATTTAGACATCATCAGTACAAATATGTAAACAAAGAAATAAAATTAACTGAAGCTGGACCAAGATTTACACTTAAGCTGTATCAAATAAAACTTGGCACTTTAGAAAATATCAAGGCTGTTGATACTGAATGGGTTAATCGTCCCTACTTAAATACAACAATAAAAAATCTTGTTTTTTCAAATACAGATATATTTTCGAATAAAAGCAATGTTTGAAAACGGATCTCACAATGACTATTTCTTTTCTTTTGAGGTCAAAATCTCGGTATATATAAAATAGTATTAACTGATAATAATAATCGCAGGGCAAAGCTATATAATTGAAAAGAATTGCACAAAGTGAAAGGAAAATTTGTAAAAAATAGTCGCTCTTTGTTTTAAAACATCTGTTATTTTGTATAACGTTTAATATTAATTTTCGTAATGAAAAAAAAGGCCTATGGTTGTAGGGATCGAGACTTGCATTTGCGCATTTCCAGGGTCGCAAAATTGCAAAAAAAAAGAAGCAAACATTTCCCCATTTTTATTTTTCCTATATCATTTTAATATCACCACTAAATATATTTATTTAAGTTTATTTTTTATTTTTATACACGACAACAAATGGAAGTCGTTTTTAACTGCATCTCTAAAAATTCAAAAATCGAATTGAAACAAAATAATATAAAATAGAATTAGGAATTTTAGAATAATGTGGATATCAATATCCATTATATTGAATTAAGTACATTATTATTTTTTTTTGCATATGCTTAAATATTATTATTATTTTATTATTTTTTTAAATTTTTATTTACTTACAAAATAAACAAATATAACATATTAATTGAACGGTTCTCATAATAAATATATCAATATATAAAAAAAAATCTAATTCAAACCAAATCAAAGTTTTGATTGTTAAATCCATTTGCCTCTTGTTGCCAAAATTGTCACACTAATCTTCGACAGAGAGCTCCGTCAGGCTTCACCTAATTAAATTGTATCCACTTAAAAGTCTGGAAGTTATAAAAACTGGTGTATTGGGCTCCACTTGTCAGGCTTGTCAGCTGTTCTATGGCATACTTTCTCAGTTTCCTACTATTACAAGTATTAATATTATTACTCTCAGCAGTTTTAGGCTTTGGCTATATTAGTTGTGTGTAATTTGAGCATTCATTTTAATTCTTCAACTGAAATAAATCAATAGATTAAATAAATAGGCTTAAACTTTTTTTTGTATGATTTTATTACTTGATAAATACGTTATCTTAAGATACATTTTCTTACATTTGTAACAATGATTTTAATTGCATTACGATTTCTGCGAATTACGAACATTCAAACTTGTAATGTGTCGTCTAAATTGTCCTCCTTAACAGCGACTTGAGTAGCGACTCTTTTTAAAACTTTTGTTACTACATCACTTAAAGAGTCTTTAGCTCCAGTCTCCAAAACTTCGCAAGTTTTCTTGAATGTTGTCTCATCAGTTCTTAATCTTAATATGGATATCAGAGCTAATTCTGAGTTGGATTTCACATAGCCATTTTTCTCTTTAGTACCATTCACAAGTGTTGGCACCAAAGTCTTCAAAACATCGAGATGTATTTGCTCAGCACTAAGACTTTTCGAAAGGTGTATGCAACTCTTTGCAACTAGCTGCTTGACGTCATTGCTATTGTGGTTCATTGCCCTGGCAAGGGCCACAATCAGGCTGTTGGGGGGATCCTCATTATTGACGAGCTTGTATTCCAGAAGATATGTCGCAGCTCGAACCGCATTACATGCAATGGGCACCTTGTCCGATACAATATTAACTAATATGTGGCCAATTACTCGATCGACGAGATTTGCTGTCAATATCTCCCTAGGACACTCCTTCAATGCAACAAACAGAATAATTGTGTAGCCATGCTTGGTAAATGAATCTTCCGCCGCATTATCCGTAAGTATGCTATTATTTAACAAATCAGAAACTTGTGCTGGTGGCATGTATTTTAGCATTGCTCCCAGGCAGCCGCCAACTGCACTTCTCGTTATATCCTCCTGATGCCCAACTAGACCCAATAATGTTGCAAATATTTGCTTCTTGATTGGCTCCGACATTTTGTCGCCCGACGGACTAATAATGCTACGCAGTGCATGCAGCATCGTTTCCCTCACAGCAGAATCATCCGAACTTTTGATTCCGTTGTGAATCTCAACAAACAACGGATCAGCTCTCGAGTGAATCGCTACCAATTCGGAAAGTGCTTTTCCCGCTTTCATGCGAACATTTCTATTCTGATCATGTAGGGCTTTTAGGAAGGTCGTCTGAAGTTGTGGCAAGAACTGTTTCAATATGGCACCAACCTTGTGGAGCAGAATCGCCAGAGTTTCGAGAACAGCTGCCTTCACACCAGAATTAAAACGATCTCCTAAAATTCGAATCAAAGGTCCAGTAATATGCACGACAGATGGCTGTAAAGAGCTGGCGCTAGTAAGGAATATAACTTCACCGAGGCCTTGGGCGGCATTTTCCTTTTCTTCGGGCAAGCCATTAAGGATAGCCTCTCGAAAGACTGGCAACAAGGGAGTGATGCCCTTTGGTAAGCAAAAACCAGGTAATTCCGCCTCGTTCAAGTCACTGGCAGCAAACCTGACTGCCTGGCGAAGATCGGTCACGTAACCAATTTGGTCCGTGGGACTTAGGCTTTTGATGACAGCATTCAATGCTTCCCAAGCATTTTGAATTATTCCCTTATCCGTATCGGCCATCAGCCGCAGTAAGCAGCGCAGAAGTTGAGGAATATATTGAGAATAGTCGCCCGGCGAGTGAATGCAGAAAGCTGAAAGTAAACTTGCCGACGATTTACGTGTGCACGAATTGTCCGACTTTGCCGAAACCATGAGAGTGTCCATTATGGTTCGTATTCCAACCTCATCCGTCACGGATAAAATCACTGTCTGACAGTACTCCAATTCTTGTAATTCATTTACCGAACCATGCGATTGCGACAAGGTCTCAAGCAATGCAGATAGAATTTTTGGAAGGTATTTCGTCAAAGCATCTCCAGCAACCGAGACTAATATCGAGAGTGCTTTTGTGTTCACTGGTTGGGCAGTTAACTGTGGCACCAGGTATGGCAAAACAACTCGTGACTTTATGTACATCACTTGACGCAGTCCGTCGAGCGTGTTCTCCGCAACCAAAGGATCGGGATCGGAGAGACCTTCCAGCATGAAGGGCAGAATGTCATCGAGTGCCCGCGAACCCACCGTGCTGTGCAACGAATCAAAGGTTTTTGCAGCTGCCACACGAACTTCGGGCAGGGGGTCGGCCAGAGCCTTGCGCACAGTCGGAACCAAACTGTGCACGAAGGTTAGGACCATTTCCTTGGATGTGGACGCCATAATCTCAGATAGACCGATGCAAACACCTTGCCTTTGGTCTGCCTGCTCCGAATTCAATCCACTCTCGAGTATTGGTATAATTTCAGGTAAAACCCGTTCACCCAGTTTTCTCACCAGATCTCCCAAAGTGCGTGCAGCCACTTGACGTTTATCGTAGCTGGTGCTTGCCAAGCATCCCAGCAACAAGCCAAACAATGTTGGCAGAATCTCACGCAATGTTCTCGGCGTATTTGTAACAACGATTTTCCAGACATGCAATGCCGATTGACGCACCATCAAGGAGACGTCACTTCGTCCCATATAAAGACCAGATAGGACTCGATTGCGGCGTTCATCGCCCAAGAATCGAATAATGGCTGTGTGCGATTGTTCCGTGCCGAAATTATCATCCTCACTGGCAGTTTCTGTAGTCATCTTGCCAGAGACACCCGATATGCGATACAATAAGTCGCCGAGCAGCTGTACCGAGCTATATCTGATGCGCCAGTTCTCGTCAAATAGACCCTTCTCCAGCTCGGGCAGCAGCAGGGCAACTGCAGTCTCTGCATATAAGTTCACAATTCGTTGTCCAGCTTTGAGGGCCGTGTCCCTCACATATTCACTTTCATCGGCCAACGCCTTGAGTATGGGATTAATTATTTGGCCAATGTATGGCGTGAATTCCTCGGGAAATGCCCCTGGCATATAGATGAACATCATAATGTACCCATCCTTGACATGTGGAGCGATGTCGGTTCGTTCTGCCGTCGAAATGATTTCCGGCATTAACTTATGCATCTTCTCTACGCCCAGTCCTCCAACGACCTCAGACAGACCCTGGGCTGCGCCACTGCGGTCAACGCTACTCGATTCCGAGGTGAGGGTTTGCATCAGCCATGGCAGCAAGTCTTCGAATGAGGACTCGCCCATTCCCTTCACCATTGCACCTAGGGCACGTGCCGACACAGCTCGGACTTCCGGAACGGGATCCAGCAGAGAGGACTTCAGGCCGGGAATTATACTGGGCAGATAAGGTGTCAGATCCTTTTGGTCTGTGAGCGAGTACATATTACCTATAATTTGGGCAGCCATTTTTCTTGTTTCTGTCGATCGATCCATGAATGCTCTTTGAACTACTGGCATTATCAGAGCCAACGATGGGGCGTCAATAAAATGAATGAATTTTGTTTTTAGTAGGCTTTGAAGACATGCTGACGTATTGTTAGAAGGATCTTCCAATGCTTTCAATAAAACTGGAACAATGGCCTGAATTTCAGGATTCTTTATAACGGATCCGATTACTTTGAGAGCATCAGCACCGGCTTCTTGTACCTTTGTGTGGGAGTCTCCGAGAACTTCGATCAATTTTGGTACAATGCTTGGCAAACAGGAAGACAACTGTTTGGGAGCGCAAAATGCCATAGCACCAAGTAATTCCACGGATGCGGTTTTTGTCCTCCATGAATCCTCATCGAGAGCTTGCAACAGAGACGGAAGCACCAGCTTAACTCCATGAGCAGACAGTTTGCCCATTACCACCTTGGCAGTATCATCGGCAGCTTGTCGCACGTATTGCGAGGAATCGCCAAAGCATTGCAACAAATGCGGTAAGACATGGACAATATATGGCTCGAACAAACGGCCAAGAGTAGTGCATAGGACTTCAAAGGCAAATAGAGCACCCTCACGACATCTGTAGTTCTTCTTGTCCTGTATGTAGGACGTTAGCTTCGACATGATGTCCAGCTGCTTCAGCGATAAGATGCCAAGACCTTTCACGATGCCAGCGATGCCGTAGGCAGCACCTCTTCTCTCTCCATACTTGTCGGATTTTGCCAATGACTGTAGTAGTTTTTTAGCCATTGCTGGAGCTTCATCTTTAACCGATGGCATCAAATGTGGCAAACAGTTTGATACCGCTTCCTGAACTTGTTGCGATGGTGTAGACAGGGCAGTTATTAATCGCTTGACTATGGGATCAATTCGCTTATCATCCTTTTCCAAATGTCTAGCCAGCGAACCCATCAGAATAACAACAGCCTGACGAATATTATCAAAGCTTTGTGACTTGGGTGCCTTATCGAGAAACTCTTCAAAGACGGGCAGTAAGCTGACAATTGTCTCTTTGCCATGCAAGTCAACTATTTTCAGTGCAGCCGCTAACATTTCTTTATGGACAATTTCTTCGCGGTCACCAAGGCCCTGGGATACCATAAATTGCATTAAATAATTGATGTCTTCAATGGACAAAAACTGTGCAATTTGAGATATTGCAATAGCGACACCTCTGCGCGGCTTCCACTGATCAGAAGCGGGTTCGATTTCACGATCAAATTTATCCAGTTTTGGCGGAATCAAAGTGAGCTTTTCATTATAAATTGCCAGCATTTTCATTAGTCCACATTTAATTAGGCTGTTGTCTTTTATTATCAATGGTATTAAGGACTCCGCGGATGCTTTTTGTATGCATAGTTCGGCATGTGTAATATCTCGAATAATATCGTTAAACTCGGGATATGGATATTCAGAAGAGTCCCACACATCGACGGCGAGTCTTCTGATATCGGATGAGATATCAAATTTAGCAATCCACAATCTCGCGATAATTTGTTTTTCCAAGTCGGCATCAGTTTTTGCATAGTCAATTAATGGTTTAATCATGATTTGAATTGCACGCAATGCTACATCCCTAGTCGTATCGATATTGCTTTGCAAAGCTTCTAAAAATAATTCAATTATACGATTATCTGGAGTGGCATTTAATTTACCACCAGATGAAACTTTTGCAACTTCCAAGAGCGCATTTACAGCTTGGGGTTGAATTGCCGGTGTTGTATTTTTGATTAAATACAGCAGTATTTCAAACATGCCCAGCCTTGGCAAATACTTTGGATGATTACTGTCAGCATTTTCAACCTGTTGGGGTTTCACGTGGATTTCCATTAGCTTTATACTTGTCAATATAATTTCCTCATTTGCATTATCATTTAAGCAAGTAATTGCACGTTTCAGAAATTCAAAGGCGTATGAAAAAGATTGTGAATCCAATATGTTCGACTGGATAACTACAAGCTTATTGATATTTGATATAATATCGATGATGCTATCATTGATGTTGTTGGCATTCCACTCCTCCTTTAATGGGCAAGATGGATTTTGGAGTCTTAGTGTTGCAATGGAAATTGAGCGACCCACATCTGAATGATCCTTAAAACACATTTTATGCAAGAAATAGTATAGATCGGTCAATGGCTCAGCGCTCAGAGGGCTGTGAGTTGCTCGTAGAATATCATCTAATAACGTATGAAAATGTAACGCAAGATATTTTTCGTTTCCAAAACAAGAAGCTTTAAGCAAGCTGATGACACACATTAATTTCTCATACATTTCTTGAACGCGCGATTTTATGCGCAGTTCCTTCTCTGTTTGGTTTTTGATTAATTCCTGTTGCTTCTGCGTTAATTTTACGGTTTTGGATTTGCCCTCTTTTTGACGTTTCTCGTCAATTTCACGACGAAGTTGAATTTCCTCCAACTGTTCCTTATAACTGTAGACTTTATTTTCTCGCTTAACACCAATCGTTTTATATTGGGCGTCTACATGTGGAATTACACTTTTATCGTACAACTCGCCATCAGGGGTCATAAATATCAAAAATTCTTCATTACTAATGCCAAAATTGCTATCATCATTTAGATATTTTTTTATTCGCATTATAATGGGAGGTACTATTATTTGCGGATTTATTCGCACTAGTGAAGCAATAATATTTTCATAAGCTCGGCAAATTTTGAAATTATCTACATAGGTCTCAATAATTTCGGCTTTGTTTAATGCAATAAAATGTTCGGGATTTAAGTGAAAATTTTTCTCAATGGTATTTTCCCAAAAATATGGATTACTGGATGATACAGCTGGACAATTGGCAATATCTAAAAGTAGTGTTGTCAACTCAAGGGAGTCCTCATGCGAAACATTTTCTAGGCCGCATATAACTTCTAGTGCTTCGACAAAGGCTTGATTTGAAGTACCATTCTGATCTATGCAATTGTCGATTTCATTTTGATTTTTTGCAGTATTTATAAAATGACTATACTCTTTGAGAGAAAGCTTAACAAAATCTACACCATCTGCACTTTTTGTGATTTCGCGAACTTGTCCTTTTGTGTAATTTCTTACTTTCAGTGAACTGCTGCATAAATTGTTGAGCAAGGCTCGATGCAACTGATCGACAGGACCCTTGATTTGATCTAAATACGATTTTAATAATATTTTCGCCATAAACGAGATGTGGCATAAGGTTTCCGGTGCTGCTGTCGCTATGAATTTTTCATTAAAGAAATGCTGCTTACTCATGTCAAATATGGAGCTCCAGAAGTATGAATACGATTCGGATGGTTCATCTAAAATTAACAAAATACAGGCAATACACGCGGCCTCTGACACATAAGAGGGTTGCGGAAAATGCTGTAGTGCTTTTGAATACAACGCATATAAGGTTGGTACTATATTGCTGGTATCCTTGACTTTGGCATTTTGTATAGATGACAGCAACCATTCCAGGTAACTTTGACGAATAATTTGAGTTGTGTTCTTTTGTTCAATGCCAATTTTGAAAATGTTTATAATCACAGTGGGTAGCTCATTCTTAAATTTTCCGCACCACAAACCAAACATCTCCAGTGTACAGCATATCACTTTTTCCTGTGATTCAGTATCAAGCGCTTTCCAGAATAAATCAACAGCTCTGTTTAAAATATCGTCTGAATTATCCGCAGTTACATTATTAAAGCTTAAGTAACCAGCACCCTGAAATCAGATAGAAAAAATATTAAATGCAAGGTAATAAAATTAAACAACTCATCGTACCGTAATAAATAAGGCAAGACAGCAGAGTTGAAATATTTGAATATTTTTTTTTACCAGTAAACTATTTTGTAATAAAAGTGTACAAATGTGTATATCAATTATTTTTCTAGCTGCAGAATTTACAGCGGATTTTAATTTTACCTAGATAAGATATCTACACACATAACTTTATATTTTTTTGATAATTATATTTTTTTCAATCTTTAATATTATATAAAAAAGATTTCGTACATAAAAAATAAAAAAGACAAACGAAAAATATTGTTTAACATCTTCCTTAATATGAATAAGACATAATATTGATTTTCCATTATGAAAATCAAGACAGTTTTCTGTGAAATATCCAGACTATTTAACGGTTATCCAGACCGGCTAACCGGTGAAAGTAGTACTATTGGTGAATTTCTCTTAATTCTAGAATTATTTTCACCGCAACTGTATTGTAGGATTCAAAAGAATACGCTCTTTATTCGATTTTTGAATTTAATCAAGAGCAACGTTAGACTGTTCTGGTATTGAATTATAGTTAATTTGGAACACACATTTTTTTTTTTTAATACGTTTTGAGGAACTTAACTTTAAAGATGATTTTTAACGATATGTATTAAACACACTCGTGTATTAGCTATTAGCTCGTACAATGATAAACCAACGCAATTGCTATCAGGAATTATTATCAAGGAGTGCGCGAACAGGAAATATTATTTTGCTGTATATGGTTTGTTACACACATATTAGAAAAAACCAAATATTTTCAAATTTGCTACTAACAAATTTAGATTAAAAAGTAAAAAAAAAATCAATTTAAAATATAATCCGCCCATAAAACAATTGAAGGACTTGAAACATTACCTGCAGCAAATTGATTCTATATTCCACAACATTTATTTTTCCATCAGATCCATTCAAAATAGAGAAAATAAGTTCCAACAATTTTTTTATAATGTTGCCATCGGAGCACTTCTGCGATAGATTCTTTAAGGACTCCAAGGATTCGCGTCGAGCAAGTTCTCCATCGCTGTACAACTTTTTGATTAAAACAGTTCCGATTTGGGAAGCGTAAGGACTGCAATCAATATTGACAAGATCAAAAATTAATCCAACGCTCTCTAGTGTATTTTCAGGACTCCTTAATATTGACTTTTGTAAATCATTGTAGATGTACGAGTTAAATTCAGAATCATTAAGTGTTGATAATAATGGTTGACAAGCAGTTATGAAAGGCTTTTCCGGCTTTGATTTGCACAGTATCATACTTTTCACAAAGTATTCGACAGCTTTAATTTTATAGGTTTTCAGTATATTCAACTGCTTGCGTTCTGTCTCGAATCGTATCATCATCATTATCATTATTGTAACGTTTGAAGTTGCATCCATTTCAAATAGCGCAATCATCGTTTCATCGAAGATATTTTTATTCTCCCATAAATCGTATATGATTTTTGTAGCTGCTTCCGTAACACGTGCATTTTGGGCTAGTAAAGTTGTTTGGTATAGCATCGACTGATATTCAAGCATTCGCAATTTTTCAGTTTTAAAAATATTTGAGCCTCGGTCGGTATTCTTCAATAGCAGACAAATCCATCCTAAGGCAACCACAGCCGATCTGCATGACTTATGAGCAGCTGTCAATGGTAATTCCTTCAGCAGAAGTGTTTTAATGACAGACAACATATGTTCAATAGTTAAATCATGATGAAATGTTAAAAGATCACAAATTAGCTTCCGAACTAGTAGCTGAGATGGTGGATCCTTGTACTTTGTCAGCGTCGTCCCTATTACTTTACATATACCTCGAATGATGGCTGAATTTACACCTGAAATTAGAAAGTAGAATTCAGTGAGTATTAAAACTGTTGCAGAAATCCTCTACTAAGTTTGAGCTATTGCAATTTCCCTACAGAAGTATTGTGGTAAAGAACTCTGTACCGTAAAGGTTCGCGTTTTTTCTTGGCCCGACGCGGGCATTGACGAATATACATATACTCGGAGTCAAGTCATCAGCTGTAAGAGTGCGTTCATATACCACGAAGAACATTGCAAAAATCGAATATACTCTGAAACCGAAGGTGCAATCGACGACATGCTTCAATGATATAGTTGTCTGAGCCTGCCGACTTAGTACTGCATGTAGCATAAATACGAATTTATTAAGAGTTTCCAAAATATAACTTCGAGTCTGAGGGACTCCTCACAATTCACACAGAAAGATGGGCATGGTTATATCAACTTGGCTATTGATGCTGATCAAGAACATATATACTTTGGTATGTTTAAAATACTATTTATGGGTAAAAAGGGTATACTGAAGTTGCACAAAATTATGTAACAAGCAGAAGGTAGCATCTCCGACATCCTTTTAATAATATATTTTCTTGATGAAAATCAGCATCAGAGTCGATTTACACAGTTCCGTATTTGTGAAAATGCCGATCCCAGATACTATAAGAGTTATACTCCAAATTGGAATATAAGTTATCGTATCGCGGAACAAGTTTATTCAATTTAATCGATCAATTTCATCAGCAAGTAAGAAAAAGTCAATCGCATATAAGGACAATAATTAACATTTACCGCAATTATCATTTAAGAAATTTGGGTAGGTTTGAAAACTGCCTAGATCAGTTTTGGCCGTAATATGAATTAGTGATTGACAGGCAAAGTTTTACGTCATAGGCACGTCAGACGTCATATCAGCACCCGAGAGTGATATCACAGATGGAAGGTAGCCTTTCAAATAAACTCAGAAAGTGCAGTCAAAAAACTGGTGTTTAGTGTTTTAGAATGCAAATCAAGTGATCTGATTTTTTTATAAATCGACATGCTATAAATGCAGTTAATTTCACAGACGTCCTAAGACTACGAAAAATGTGCAGAGAAGTACTAAGACAAAGCAAATTTTGATTACCATTATTCGTTATCTCTACTAAGACCAGATGTCTACAGCAGCCAGCCTTATGCTCTAAAACTTTCGAAGGGAGGCATTCTGATGGCTTGGCTAATATCGGATATTGTCGAATACCATTCCTAAACATTTTCGGTTATGTTCTAATCCGGTGATTAGGGCGGGCAGCTGAGTAGCTCCACATTTGGCTATATATACGCTTTAACCATCTGCGTTGAATGAATCAATGAATTATTGTGCCATAGTGGTTATAAACAAATTTAAATTTCAGGGCCATAATTTTCTCTATATTTTAGACTCATAACTAAAAAATTCGGTTATAATTCAGCTCCTTTCGATTTTGGCAATGATCCTTGAAAGCATTGATTTGTTTTTATGTTCCTTCAAAGTTTAAGCCTTTTTTTTTTTGGAAATATGAAAATTAAAAGAAAAGCTCGGTCAACGAATAATGCAAGTGACATGCAATAGATAACAATCAAACTAATATTGCATCTTCAATGCCAGTGTTGCAAAATTGTTGTAATAATTTCAACAAACTCGAACGACAAAGATCTGTAAAGTTCCGTTATTTTAACATTTAAGTTTAATTCAGGTCCAACATTTTTCGATAGTAGCATGAGTAACAGAGGCTTAAACTCTTTAATACATTTTTCCAGACTAATATAAAAATTCATAAGACCATTCGTATTTTTAAGTTCAAGCTGAAATATTTGCTATATATTTATGCTCAGCTCCGATGGAAATAATCAGTTGAAAGATGAGTTATTTTATGAACAAATTTTTTGTTTTCTAACGTATCTGAACCAAAATCTCTACATGTGAGTCTAATTATTGCTCAATTTTTGGGCAAAATTATTAACATCGGACTACAATCGGTGGCTCTGATATATTAAGCATGATACTTAGATGTGAACTAAGATGACTTGGACTCCGACCAGTAAGGTTATGTTATCTTCAACGATCTTTGAAGCTGTTGCTTCTTGACTTATTTTTTAATCAGAACTTCAAGCACCGCATGTAGATATGTATGTAAGTACATACATATGTACATCAGCTGCACACGACTTACCGGGATTGTCCAGCACCGCACAGACATTCTGAAAGAGTGACAGGCGCTCCTCCACGGACACGTTGAGAACTCTGTTGGGCAAATCCCGGAGAGCATTCGATAGCTGTAACGAATATTATCAGAACTTTGTTACATATTCAATATTTTCTTATTATTACCTTAGGAATATCCATTTTTTCTTAAACGCAAACGTGTGGACTAAATTGGTGATGGTACATAATCACTACAATGATCGAAATATATCGTTGACATACTAAAATTCATCGCATAAGATTAGCACATAGATTTTATATGCAAAACGGAACGATACATCCCAGTAAAGTTACAATACCAATTAATTAACATGAAAAGCAAAGTTTGGAATATATAAATTCAAATTGAGGCTCAGTTGCTTCACTAACAGTAATCCTTAGAAAAGTAGGAGGAAAACAACAAACAAACTTTTTGCTTAGACAATTTTATTTACATATATACATATATTTATTTACTTATTATTAATATTTGTTATTATTTATAGTTTTATTAGTATTTTCTTTTTTAACTTGAGAAAATACACATCAAATTAAACAAATTTTTAAACGCGATTTTTCGCAATATTTAATAAATATATTATATTTATAGCTGGAGCGGTTGGAGTTGAAGAGGAAACACCAACCGAAAAATAAAGTTTCTAAGACTTTTTTAAATTGATGGGTTAGTGGAAAATTTTTAATTAATTTTTCCTTACTGTGTGCAGCTACCAAAAATGAAAAATTAATTAGTTATGAAACATTTCTTCGAATGCACTGCTTCAATTTATGTTTGTTTATTTTTAAAACGACAAAGAGCCCTTTGCAGAACAGTGAAAAGCTTGAAAACAGCGACTTCGAATTGCTCTTCTAAGTCCATTTTTAAATTAATTTTATCGCAACAATTTTATAATCAGCTAAAACTGTTGCCAGTGTGGACAGATTGTCACATAATTAAATCAATTGCATTCCTCTTGATGCCGTTCTGTCTGATGAGGCTATCAAACAATTAAATAATGAAACAAACATCAAAAGTATCTGCAGAATCAGCAAATTTTACTTTAACAATAATACATAACAAAAATGTTAAATTAAGGACATTTAGCAAACATATTACCTTCCTGAGTTTATACGTAAATTAATTGCTTATTAATTGTTAGGAAAATTACTTTTTTAGTTACAAAAAATAATAAATCGGAAAATTAACTGAAATTCTTTAACTGACACTTTTCAGTTAATGGAAAATCTATATTGCATTGTTCTTTACAAATTGCATAAGAAAAAAGGTGATCGAATTTTATATGCACATATAAGTTAATAAAAGGCTTAATTGGTAGCACTGATTGGAACTACAGCGAACAGAAGGAATGAAACGATTAATCGAACTGTGAACTAAGCTCTTGGTTCGATTTAACGTGACAGTCGACAAGCTTTTCCGATACAAATTACGACGAATTGTTATAACAAGTAACAATTTAATTGTAAATATTATAAGGCGAAATTAATGAGATGACTTTTTCCGAAGATCAAGTGGGAGTGAAGTTGGACCGATGTGTGTCTGATACAATTATTAAAGGAAGTGAGTCTTTTTGGTTATATAATCAATGGCAGATATGTGTGTATGGATGCAGATGTATGTATGTACATAAGTACATACAGAATGTTTAGTTTAGCGGCTTTTGCCAAACAGCATCTAGAAGAAAACGGTTTCTTGGGCACCTGAAGGCTGAGATGACCTTAAGACCAGAGTCACCATCTCACATTCCATTGACAGACAAATGATATACATCTCTGATTCGGTCGATTCTGGCATGTGATTTGTTTGAAGCATAAAGAGTTAAAACTGACAGAAAAAGATAATGCTGATCAAGAATATATGCTGTGTTGGATACCTCGTTCAATGCTGTTTCGGGGTGATATTTAAATAAATCATAAGCATTTACAATTGTTTTCCCACATTGTATTATGTGGACAGGCTCTCTTCCTTAATATTGATCCTCGTGGTTATTATGGTTACGACAGCATTACTACATAAATTCACATTATTACCTTTGCTCCCCAGTTTCTATCTATCAGACCTTGAGTTCGCTAACTTTATTATTTCCACTTAAGTTTCTGATCTTTTGTATCTTATTCGTAGAACCTCTGCATACTTTTATTATTTTGCTGTGGGCAGTACAAATGTCAGAGCGACAATGTAATGCAGCTGTCGTCGGAACAGTTGGTAAATGAGTTTTAAGTTGTTGGGTTAGACATACATGTCAGCTTTTCTAATACACAAATGATAAATGTGAAACAGAAAACATTTTAATGAAATTCTCTTAAAACATACAAAAGCATAATATTTCGAGCTGCGGAGTAAACGTTAAATGACGGAAGATTGACGTAATCTTATGCGTCCCGAAAATTACAGATCTTCCTTGTCTTAACAAAGAAATAAATGAAGCTTATTACCAGAAGTAGACTTGAAGATAATCTACTAAGAATAAAGCTATATTACAAGATAATAGTACCAATGAAATAACAAATTTAATTTCCAATTATTTTCTTGATTGATTTTTAATGGGTTAGGAAAGCTTATCAATGTTATTTCGTTTTTAAATACTAAAAAAACTCTTTTATTATAGGTGGCGGACTTCTGATTGGATCAGTGATGTCGTTATTATTTTTTAAAAGACGTGTGTGGCCTGTGTGGCTAGGATCTGGGTTTGGCGTTGGTGTGGCCTACAGTACTTGTGAAAAGAACTTAAACTCATCTAAATAAATGTTATTGCATATGTAGTATATATGAATATAAAATGAGAATTTTAATTACAAACGTTCACTTATGTATGGAATTTGCAAAAGAGCGGACTACAAATACTGTGCTCTATTCAGTAATAATTGTTTATATCTATTTTTTCTTTTCTTTAAATTTAACATATAATTTATTCTTTGAATTTATTATACAAATCCTAAAATAAATTATGGCTTTTTTCATTTGATTGAGTACAATTCTTATATCTAATGGTTCTAATGAACTTTTTATTTGTATTTCCATAGAATCAAATCATTTAGATATATATTTTTTACAGAGAGTAAATAAATTGAAATTATATTAAGGATTAGAGCATTTTGTATACTATTTTGATAGTAGTCTCAAGGACGGGCCTGGTACGATTTACTTAGAGATGAATATTGCTCATTGAACTCTCTTACTAAAAATCTAGGCGCGAAGTTTTTTCGATGATTGGCAAATTATTTGATTCAGCTGTATGGTTAGACTGATTGTTCGTGCCAAGATTTACATGCAAGAGTTCTGTCTCCATGAACTAGACTTACAGAAGAGCTCGTTGGCACGGCTTCCTTACTTTCTTTCACACCCTGGGAGAAATCTGCATTCCAAGATGAATACATTTTCAACCCACTGCAAAATGTGCTGTACAACAGATTTTCCACATATAACTGGTTTAATACATCTTCTTACAGCCAAAAGCCGAGTGACTCCAATCATAAAAATCACTTTATCAAGGCTAGAAGTCTGTGAACTGTTCAAATCACAGCTTCCACAACTTCATTACGACAACGTTGAATCGTACTTTTGGACATACTCCTCAATGAGCTTAGCTTGGTTTAACAAGCCTTCGTAGAGTGACAAAAATAATGCCACCAACAGATATGGGAACTTGGTAGATCTGTCTAGCAGAGAAGTCACGTCACAAGAGCTGCTTGATAGTCAGCTATGGTGGCAAGGGCCAGAATGATTGCAACTTTCCCAAGACCAATGTGCCATCTCTCATATTGCGAATGATATAACCAAAGTTTTTCAATCCTTTGAACCTAATAAACGACTTTCCGATATCAGTCGAGGGAGTCGTAGTTTATTATGCAAAGCTTCATCAATAGCTGTTTTCAGATTATTATTATTATCATTCAGCTCTGCTTCAAAGATTGCTTCTTGTCCGCAGATTCCCAGCAACTTGAGGGACAGAAGTGCTCGAGGAATTAACTCTGTCCGCTGCCGAGTTTGCCTTGGAACACTCACCTCTAAGAGGTAACAACTGTTCCAAAAGCTAAACGATGAGAAGCGCCTCCTGACAGGTTTGGTAAATAAAATACTGGGACTCGGATTGGAGCAGACGGTGCCCGCCATGTTATATACGATCCCGGATCTCGCAAAGCTTCCGTCTGGAAGTGATCCTGAGAGCTGAGACCAACCTCCGGGTCACCACACCAACCAATTTGATCAACAAGCGGATAAGGGCAAATTTCGGAACTATTTCTCTAGCGGACGATATCTCCCTTAAATCAAGCTTCATGACACTAGTCCTGGTAGCCGATGTATATCAGGAAATCATCCTACTTGGGCTGATGCCCGTTCAAGACGGTCTCCCCGTCGCATAACATTTTGCAATATTGCAAAGAGGGCGTTATGTTTATGACTAAAAGCAGGCCTTGTTGCCAGTTCCTGGCTATTTCCATTCCATTCCCATTAACTGATTTAAGCAAAAACTGTGTGCCATGTTCTGAATTTTCGAACGTGCTCGGAAAATTACACAATGCTGTTCACTTCGCTGAAGAAGTTAAATAATTACGAGCAAAATATAAATTAACTCCTGGCTTAGCTATGGAGGAATTGCGTTCCCCGCCTTCCGAATTGCTCTCCAAAGTGATGATTCTAGGTTGGCTGAAAAGTTGAAGAGCCTTTCTACCATCAACTCAGAGAGGCACTTTCAGTTCAAATGAAAAATATAGATACTGAAAGGTTTCCAAGTGCAGTGGTACCCATAACTTTTAGGGAGAATACTAAACAATATCTTAAAAATCAGAAATTGTAAAATTGTTAACCAATTTGTAAGTAAAATATTCGTATTGATAGTTTTATGATGCAGCTGCGGCGATTCGCTCTATATCGCCCTCTAATGCAGGTTGTCAGTGCGGAATTCAAATAACATATGTAAATGCGATAATTTAATAAATAACAAAGCAGCAGTGCTTCGAAGGATACGGAAGCCTACGGGCTGAAGGAGCGCAATTGACGACTGTCATATAGATCAGCAGCAGTCAAGAAAAGGCTATGATTGACACAGTGGCAACGACCAGCTTCATTAGCGAAGACTACGTAGACTGCTGAGAGAGAGGGAGAGATTGAGAGAGAGAGAGAGAGTATCGCCAATTAAACAGCGATACTTTCCGAAGATTCACACGATGCAGGCCGAGATCAACATGCAGGTGGATGAATTTTCGTTTGAAAATTCTCAAAGCGCATCAATTGTGAAAAAAAAACACTGGAAAATGGCGCCTATGCGTTAACTTAACTACGCGGCCCATATCGTCGACATTTCGCCACATCATCAGTTGCCGACTCAGATCGGCCAACTTCTACATACATGTATGTTGAAAGCTCTCATCGACCATGCTTACCAGAGCTTAACTTAGAAAACACTCAAGGAGCACATCAAGAACATAATAGAAGTCTTCCGCCGACTTAGAGCACAGAATCTCAGTATAAACGTAGATAAGTGCGACTTCTTTAAGAAGGAGCTCAAATGCCTGAACGTGCGGCTGTGATCCTGAAAAGTAGCTGCGATTGCAGAATTGAAGCCCCCTGGAAAAATGAAGAACTACGGCAATACCTTTTTGTGACATCATAGTAAACGTGCTTCGAACTAGATCTCGCCCCTCCTGCGAAAGCAGCATGACGAGCACTTAAACCAAAATCAGCATGATCACCAGTAACTAGAAAAATCAGCTGTCACATTGAGGGTTAATGAAAATGAGCTAGATAAGGCTTACCAGGCTGAGCGGGTATCGAATTAGAAGACAGTTGAATAGAAAACAGGTCTATGGGCGCAGCACTTTACCACCTACGACATGCTCTAAGAACGGCAGTTGATAATAAGGAAGAAACACTGTGCACTTTCCTAGATATTGAAGGTGGCCTTGACAACACATCATATGATGTGATAAAGGCTACCCTGTCGAGGGGCCTGAACTACCACCAAGTGGATACTCTCACTGCTGCGCTCCAGAAAAGCCACAACATCAGTGCATGACAGCACTGTGACAGTCCTAACTACTAAAGGGTGTCCGTAAGGGGGTGTACTGGCTCCACTACTCTGGAGCCTGTTAGTTGACCAACTACTTAAGAGACTTGCCAGCAGGAGTAATCAATGTCAAAAGCATGCCGATGATATTGTTATCATTGCACAAAGCAAATTTGAGCAATCGCTCTCTGACATAGTTCAATTAAGATTGAAAATAACGAGTGACTGGTGTACGGAAGTTGGCCTCAACCTTAACCCTATAAAAACAGTCATCATCCCCTTTACTAGAAAATATAAGTTACAGGGAATGAGGCAGATATGGCTTTCAGGAGCCCTACTAGAAACAAGTAGGAAGGTAAAATACCTCGCAGTCATATTTGACAGAATATTCAACTTTTCCACCCATATCCAGAATACGATATTAAAGTGCTCCAGATAGCTTTATACATGTCGTACATAGCCAACGATAATGAGATGGCTATACCTTAAGGTAGTAAGACCCTTGCTGATGAAATGACAGCTGAATATAGACCAGAGTAGTAAAAGGGAATGTACGATATTAGATGAAGTCCACCCTAGGAAAGCACACACCTTAAAATGGTAAAGCGTCTCACCAATCAGGGCACATGTCTTGGAATGGTGCGCCCTCGGATATCCTATGATGAATTTCTGGAGACGCAAACCAGCATAAGAAAAAAATAACCATGGGAAAGAATAGGCTTAGGATACTCACCAGTCTCTTAGACTAAGAATTCACCTATCTAAACTGGGTATTTTTAGTAGCGAACTTGTGAAAACGAGGAAGAGTCCTCAAAGCACATCACATCAGATTGTGTCGCTTTAGCTAAGCAGAGATGTTGTATCCTGGGGATGCATGTGCTGAGCTCAGAAGTCATAGAAACTCTCAACCCGACCAAGATTCTTGCATTCGTGCAAAAGCTTGGGTTGATGGAAGAGCTGTAGGCTCAGAAGGGGGCACAATAGATCTAATAAGTCGCAATGTATGAATCAAATAATAATAATAATAATAATAATACTCCTCACACACTACGGGCACATGTTCTCGTGGACAACCTCAAATGGCTGACTATCTGCGTTAGAAAGGGAGAGGGCGAAAAAGAGCGAATTCGCTTCAACTGCATCAAACTGGATTTCGATCCGATATACAGCTACTGTGAGGGGCGCATATAACATGTTTGCAAACATACAATCATATTCAAATGTTTCTATACATATATTATGTAGATATTATGTTATATATTATATTTATTGTTGTAAACTGGATGTCTTAGCGATATACAATGATCCTGGTCTAAATAACTTGTGGGATGGTTCGGATGGGGTGGGGCTGAGGCCACCAGGCAGGTCGCGGGTTACAGATAGCGAATGGCGTCCGCCGGGGAGGTTATCTGCGAATAATACGAGATTTCTCGTAAATAAGCAGTCCCGAACAAACAGCGGGTGCGATATTGTCAATCGTACCGACAAGGCGTTTGTGTTGCCGCCTTTTAAAGTATAGCCTCACACAACCCCAATCACATTATTACCTGCGCTTATCTTCACATCTCACTCCGAGCCCAACTAAGGCGTTATCTAAACCGTGCCGAGAGTCAGCTTGGCTGGAGTTCCGGGCGGAAAACTAGCTCAGCCTCGAAAGGTGACCTCAGGCAAATGGCGGCCGCCTGTTCTAATTTAGCCTTACCCGGGTAACGCGGATCTCTGCCCGGGCGCACACATACTTCTCCGCAGCTCGTGGGAACACAATGAAAAATT